CCTGCATATTGATAATAACCCTGTAAATGATGAACTGAGTGACTGTCTTGATCCTTTGGGGTTTTATATACAGTCATAAATCCCCTAAAGTCTACACGTGTTTCTGTGAATGTTAAATAAACGTCTACATCAGTCCTCTGAGGACCAGCATGCATTGCAAATGCAGCCTCCAGGTTGAGGTTTTGACTTTTATTTGGGTCTGGAAAAAGCGGTGTGCGAGGCGGAGCAGCGTGACGGAGGATCTGGGCGAACCGTTTTCCTTCTGACGGCAGAAGTCTGGAACAACTGAAGCTTATTTCTGACCTGAGATCAGATTAACGTCTCTACGTGCAACAGCGGGCGCGTTTCAGTCCCGCGGTGTCTACGGTGAAAGGTTCATTCGTCATTTTGCAACGCGTTGCGCAATAAAATTCTAAAGGTGTTTTCGCGAGGGCGGAAACAAACTGTTACCGTGGAAACGGACAACACAGCAGCGTCCTGGAGGACGGGCACACCTGACCTCCCCGGCTTTTCGGCCTGCAGCCGCAAAGAGTCAACAAACCCTGAGCAGGAAACCTCGAAAGTGGCTGACGAGGCGAAACCGACCTCTGATCTGATCGCAAAGCCGTTTTTTTGGAGGACGGCGTGAAGCACGGCTGTGCTCAGAGCCAAATGCTAACGTGCTAATGTTCAGCTCAGAAGAACATGAATGTGTGAAGCAGATCGGAAACGTTGTGTGCTCAATCGCAATTTTTCATTGTTCCCTGTTGCATTATGGGGCCTTTGGTCGTACAGACAAATCCCCCCCTGAATGCATCCCAGGTAAAAGGGGCGGAGCCTGTCACACCTGAGCTCGTTTCTTAGTGCTTGAGCCGCTGACGTTTACCGACGTGCTGTAACGCTAAAGCCGGCTGAGAATCCTGCTGTGAGACTAACGTGTTTACAGCAGAGGACTCGTGATACACAGGTGATAGACGACCCCCCCCCCCAAAACCCCCCCATAGCCCCCCCCAACCCAAACCCCCACACCAACCACCCCCAACCGTCAGAGTCAACAAACCAGATTCAGTTTCTTTTAACACCAATTAGTTTTAGTCACAGGACCTAAATAGAAGTGAGTGTCTGAAATGCAAATTACAGGTAATGAGATCAGCAAAGAAACCCGAGACTGAAAGAACATTCTTAACATTCTGTCCCTGTTGAGTCTGTGGGACAAACAACTGAGGAAGCTGAACTTGAATAGACCACGAAAATGACTGTGATGACTCTGCCAGGGACTGCATTTCAGAAGGAGCCACTCCTGCACACAAAGTAAAAGTAAAGCTCTGATTAAGCATTAATCATCTCCAAATGACAGGTTGCACGTGACACTGTTAAGAGGGAGAGAGAGTCAGTGAGTTCCGTTTCGCAGGAAAGTGTTGATTTCCTGGAGGGAAGTGATGCATTTCAGTGTTCTGCAGCCGTCATGGCGGCCGGTCAGCACCGTGTTCCTGCATCCAGACACAATCTGTGTTGCCTTCAACAACCTGAAGTCGGCGTAAGAGATCCGAGCCTCTTCTCTGCGGTGGGACGTGTTGCCGTGACGCCCTCATCCTTCGCCCGTTACGTCCCCCCCCCCCCCCCCCCCCCTCCCCCGTGACTCAGCCCCTGTGATGCTCCTCGCTGTTCCAGAAGCAGCCTTACATGGTCAGTGACGCAGCAGCAGGATCCCCCCCCCCCCCCACCACACTCCCTAGGTGGCTCTAGTATGGTCCTTCGGCTAGTTGCTCAGACGTGAAGCGCCGCCGCGGCCGTCCGGCCTCCCACCCGCACCAATCGGCGGCCTCCATCTGTTTCCGTGGCAACGTGACGCAGGCGGGCCTCCTGGCCTCAGCAGAAAATAAACGGCTGCTGCTCCTCTGGAGTGTTTTTCTAAAAATACGGCCGCTATTCCTGAAATGTGGTTTTCTCCGTGTGCCGAAAATACTCAAGTCATCACACGTTGTGATGTTATTTTCACGATCATGATGTACTGCTTCCCTGATCACGGTCACAGAAATGACTCTAAGAATACTCTAAAATGACTGAATGTTTCCCTGAACAACACAGTTGTTTACTTCATCCGAGGTGCGTTACTTTCGCATGTTTTACTCGTCTTTCACCGTCTCAGAGGTAAATACGTTGTATCCTTTTGACTGAGCTGCGTAGAATACGAAGCATTATTTAGATTAAAGTAGCCGACAGGATACAAAGCAGTTAACATTCACATTGATCCAGACACATTAAGCGGTATGTGAACACATTTATGTACTTTTATGTCAGGTTTCAAATGCCATACTTTTAGTACACCCAGATGTGGTAGTACTTTTACTACAAGAGAGCACCAAAGTACTTCCTCACATGTCTCACACATACTACCTTTACAGAGCTAAATGGCTTATTGTGCTGAAGTGAAAACAGTCTCACAGCTTGATTGCACTGGTTGTCGTGTCTTCACACACACACACACACACACACACACACACACACTCATGAGACCATCGATTCCTCCGATCAGCTCAGTGGCTCGTGACGTCCGTCCCGCCGCTCTGCACGGCGAGCTGTCAGGGTGTGAGCTGCCTGTCTTCTCTCAACTGTTGATGTTCCTGTTGCCGTGGCAACCGTCTGTTTCCCGGCGCCAATTGGCCCCCGGCTAACGGCTCCGATGCTCCATAAATGTGTTTATTGTTTCATGCAATACCTCTCTCGCGTAAGTCTGTCGTTAGTTTAGAGTTTAAACTCTTATTTATTGCAAACATTAGAGTGTGTTAGGTATTAATTAAACTGCGCTTCCTAAATGTCTCGTACCTTTTCACATAATAATGTCTGAGTAGAAGCTCCCTCAGCGGGACGACGGTATCACACGTGTGAGAAGACAAAGATCCGCAGGTTGAGGTTTTATGACACCTTTGATTTTTTTGTCAAGCGAAACCTCTCAGACATCATGAGAACGAGGCGTGGAAAAAAGTCGACGTGCGAAAGACGCTGCGTCACAGGGTCTCCGTGACGATAACTCGCTTGAACTATGCACACACTTGTATGTCGTATGTCGTGTTTACTGACATTTCTCTTCATTCTGCAGATTAGCGGTGTTAGTTCAGGACTGTATCTTTGGCCCCGTCCGCCGCCGCGGGGCCCTACGGGGGGGCCCCTGCAGGGACGGGACGGCGGCCAAAACAAACACGCCTGTGGCGTCAGCCGAGAGGCGGATTCCCCGTTGCAACAGGATGTGACATCAGGATGTGACATCACGGAGGCAGTGTTGACGGAGGTGGCTGCGGAGCTTCGGTTTAACAGCCGAATGGTTCCATACAAACACACAGCTGGAAGGACTCTGTGTTGTGTGTCTGTCTTCACACAGATATGTGACCCCCAAATCCTTCAGGGGAAAATAACCCTCAAAGGTCAGAATAACAAAAAGGAACATTAGCGCGCTGTTTTCTGCTCAGTGATGGAAACAAATACTGAAATACTGTCAGAAGGACGCGGCTCATGTGCAGTGTGCACCATCGGGGGCTTGTGTTAGCTACACACCACAGACAGGAGCCAAAGGCCTCAGCTAACTCCAACGTAACGCTAACTCAAGGCTAACAGAGAGTGAAAGCTAAGCCAAAAGCAGCTGAAAGCTAACTCTAAACTAAGACAACCCAGGAGCTAGCTCTATGCTAACCAAATCCAGAGGCTAACTCTATGCTAACAAAACCTATAAGCTAACCCTAAACTAAGAGAAACTAACTCTAAGCTAGAAGCTAATGTAATGAGATGCTCACTTTAGTCACAATTATCTGGACCTCGAAAGACACAAACATGATTTATTATTTATTTAAAATATTTCAATCAGAAACAAATTACCTCCAGTCAACCATCTCTAACAACTACTTTTTAGAGTGTAGACTTTTTCTAAATCTTGCTAAGGGGTAAGTGATATTTGGGTGGGCCCCAGTATTGGGTTAGCCTAGCTTAGCACCAAGCCCAGAGGGAGAGGGAACCTACTAGTGACAATGCTGCCGACCACACAAACCCACTGCTGAGGGCGCCATGGAAACAGAAGATTAACACCAACACGCTCCTTATGTAACCATCCGTTTATCCGGCAGCCTCCGGACTTCATTTTGTGAACACCGAAGCATCTTGGATCATTTGTAGAGAGATAAGCAATTAAATTGGGGCTCAATGCATTTTCTTTTTGCCTGTTATTTAAGAACATGTGAGGTCTGGATGTAGTGAAAGCATTTCCTTTCTTGTACTTTTCAATTCTGAGGTACTTACGTATCTACTACTTATCTTAAATCTTACATTTCTCTTCAATTACTCTGCAGATTCAGATGATTTGAACCACGTATAATCAACTGGTCAATGATGCTGTATCATAATAGCTAATATGGTCAATACAATTAGTTCCACCTTTTCCAGCTGCATTATAAAATGAATGCATCCATATTAGTTTAGTCTGCATTGCAAGTAACTGATTTTGACCAAAGTATTTCTTTATTGTTACTTTGACTTACAGGTTTTACGGTTTTGCAGCCGACATGTTAGACGAACATGTTTAACTACGGATCAAATGTTACGATGAGTCTACAAAGGTCACCAGAATGTAACACTGCAATTTGAACAGATTTTAAATATTTGATAGGTTAACATATAGAAAGGAGTAAAGGACCGAGGTTCTCCGTCGGGATCTAAAATTACATTATATTCTATGAAACAAGATCTTCCTCCACTGGATCCAATAGAAGAAAACCAGAACTAGACCACCATGGAAGGCGGAGTGGTCCAATCTGAACACTACAATGACAATGATGTGGGCAAAGGTAGAGGACACCCGTGTCCCCTTCGCTTTAATGAGGTAATGTGATTAAATGTCTGGTTGCCAGGACCCTCATTTTCTTTAACATTTATTTAATTTGTAGTATTCTCAACAAATGTTGTGACTCTGTAGTCATCACCGTGACGATGACTCTCACACACACACACACACCTCAATAAAAGTGAGATCAATGATTTCTTCTTCAATAATTTATTTGTCATGTGGAATAAACAGTTCATATATTTCTCTGTTCCTTTAAACACTCAGTGTGGAAATCCATTGCGTCACAAATAACTGCATAAAAAACACACACACACGTGACTTCACGTGTCCGGTGAGCAGAACACCTGCAGCTCACGTGGTAGTCCGGAGCAGCCCGTGCGGCTCATTCACAGGTTAAGTCACGTGACATCCAGCTGTTGTCACTCGCGTGTCATGAAATGAGCGTCCCCGCCCGGCAGATCTGGCACCGCGGGTCCACCTGCAATAGTCTTCCCCTCCCCGGACGGCCGGTCCGGCCTCCAGATTTCGTCCGGTACCGGTACCCCACGTGGCCACGGCCAAACTGATAAACCAATCGGGCCGCATAACTCCCCGGTCCGGTTCGGTCCGACTCTCCAATCAAACGCCGTTGTACGTCTTCAGCAGAGGGCGGCCGTTTGGACGGTTTGCGCTCGTTCTCACCGCTGCGCAGCGGTATGATTCGGTTCGGCTCGGCCCGGTTCGGCTCAGCGGACCTGCATCTCCACGCAGGGAACCCACTGGTTCCTGCAGCGGCTCTCCTCGCAGAAGCTGCTGATGTTCTGCAGGGCCGGAGACTGCAGCGGCTGCACGGGAGGGTTCTGCACGACAGAGAAAGGCGGCGTGAGACCTCCGGTATGCGTCACGTACTCATTACGTCATAGTGCGAGATCGAAATACATTCCGGTTCTGTTAGAATCAAAGGGGAGCTGGACTTACAGTGACCAGGATGCAGTGCAGGTCCCGGGGCTCGTTCCCGTTACTGTCCTCGGTGTCCTCTTCCAGCAGCTGGGACAGACGCGTCATGCCGGACACCCGCAGGATGTTGATGTCGTTGTCGCAGCAGAACGCCTGAAGCAGCGTGAAGTGGATCTGCAGCGCGATGTCATCTTCATCCTCCTCGTCGGTGGCGAGGACGCACAGGACCACGCTGTCCGGATCTCTGCAGGAGGAGGAAGAGGAGGAGCGCGGGTTAATGTCTGCGTCACTACGTCCGTCATTAGCCGTCATTGGCATACGATCAGGATGATGGACGGTGCAAAAGCTGCACAAATCAAACTTACACATTCATGAGTTTGGCGGACTCGTAGACCCCCACCGTGAGGGAGTCCTGCTTCCGAGCCGCGACCAGCAGCTCTTCCAGCGCCGTCACCGTCTCCATCCTGCAGGGACACGGAAGGTTAGAAACGTGGCCGAAACCGGCAGAGCGAGAACACGCGAAACGGCTCCCGGCGCGATTCAAGAGACCGGGTTGTGCTTCTAAAAACTAAATGAATATAGAAAATGATGCAATTGTATCCAGGGTTTAACGTTCTACTGCGTGCCGGCGCGCAATTACGCGCCGGTGCCAGCCATGACGCGTCGGGGACTCACCTTTTCTCGGTGCTGTTGGAGCCGATGAACTCTTCCAGAGTCATGTTGAAGTCGGTAAAATAATCCACTAAATCCAGGATAAAAACAAGTATCCCGGAACAGAGTCCCAAACAAGTGTTAATCCGGAGCGGCGCAGAGATGCTCTGAAGCCCGCAGAGTGAATTCAAAGGTCCGTGAGAGAGAAGCCGTCTGCCTCCGAAGCGCAAAACCCGGGTCCTTTTATGTCTCTCCCCGCAGTGGGCGTCACCCCACCCGGCCGCCCGTCACCTCATTGGTCCGCCGCTGACAATAGATCCCCCGTACCCTGCGCTCATTGGCTGAGTGCGCAGCACACGCTGGAGATCCCACGTGGGTGGTTTCGGAGAAACCCCCGCTCTCTCCCCCCCTCCTCCTCCTCCCCCTCCTCCTCCTCCTCCCGGTTTTCACACCCTCCAGGTTTGTTTACGGAGTTATTTCAGACTGGCGGAATTTCCATCTTCTGCTCCTTCTCGCTGCACCTCCTCTCTTCTCCTTCACCTTGCTCCTTCCACCTGCACCTTCTACGCACTTCTTCCCTCTGCACCGCCTCCATGAAGCTGCAGCAGGTGACCGGCCTCGTGTTGGACTGTTACGTGGCTCGCGGGCAGCAGGTTGTGCAACATGGGTTAAAAATAAAAGATGGAAAAAGCGCGTCGATACGCACGAGGGGAAAGTCGCGAGACGCACTCGTGGTTATTGTTTCTGACACGGTCAGAACCGGGACCAGAACCGGGACCAGAGGGCTGACTCGTAACATAATCATAACATAAAATTATTGGTGCAACGCTTTTATTTCGAGTAAATGCGCTTCATCACAGGCACAGACAGACGCACGCGCATGTTCACACGCGTCCGGCGCCCCCCTGCGGCCCCGCAGTGACGCTGCAGCAGCGGGACCAGGAGGACATGTCGGGGCACGCTGAGGAACTGGTTCTGATGCGGGGGGGGGGTTGGTTTCTGGGTTTAGCGTTCAGCTTTCATCCAAATTGACTTACAATAAGTGCATTTAAACAAGAGGTGAGTCTCTGTTTGGTGAAGGAAAGTTTCCATTTTCAACATAAATAATGTTTCGTCAACCTGAACAACGAATGAAGCCTGAAGGCAACATTTAGATTCATTTTTTATTTCATGTTTCTTTCAATCTGATCTTCATACGGCGTTTAAATTAAATCTGCTGTATTATTGTATTTAATTCGGACATGATCTTCCATTCAGTCTGACTCTTACAACACTTATTTTACAAATTCATTCAGATTTCATAATCTATAAAATAGGAAGTTATTAGTTGAAGTTGGGGGTAAAGTAGAGATTAAAATCCTCGCCTGGTTCTCTGCTGCCACCTGCCGGTCTGATCCGGTTCCTACAGGAGGATTTTAAGACCGTCAGTAACTATGAGTGGAAATGTTTTTAAATAATAACATTTAGGTTGAAATGTACAATTGTGTTATTTTTCTCCTTGAATTCTCAACAAAATCATACAGTTTATTATTTTTATTAACTCCGCGTTCTTCACAGTTTATCATTAAAACTACAAAGGAAGTAGAACACTTTTATCTCACCGTAAAACATCCTTCTTTTGATGTGAAGCCATAAAGTTAAAGGTTAAGCAACTTTGCTGCTCTGTTCAAGTTTACGGGGATCTTAAACTATTCGGGTTTGTCTTGATAGTAAACTTTTGATTTAAAAATAAAGGTTTAACATTTTTATAACGTTATTGTAAACATGACCCACATTGAATATTGTAAACATTTACAATACCTTGTTTTTAATATTGTTCATATATTAAAGTGTTTGTTTTTTTGGTCACAAGCTTTTTAACCACAATAAAAACACATTATTGAACCTTTTCAATACAAGTAAAAGACACAAAAGATCCTTCAACGTGAACTCTGAAGGAGACGTGAAAGGTGAGATTGATTATTGATGAAGCCTGTTAGCAGTCAATCACAATGATGATGAGGGCTGATCACATGACCTTGTGCTGCTCTGATGAAAACAATAAGTGATCAATACCTAAATCTCTATCCCTTGGTGATAAACTCCTGATTAACGATGAGGGAAGAAAAAATCATCTGATGGAAACTTTTAAACGATTAATTTAGAACCAAAAAGATACAGAAAACAAATACTTGAAGTAAATCAAATAAAAATGTCCATAACATTTGAGAGTTTGATCTTAAAAACATTCAGTTCAACCAAGTGAAAAAACCTTAAAGGTGCGAAGCTAAAATATATAGAAATATGTAAACGTATCAGGTTAAAGTTTAAAGAATTTAAATACTAGAGTATTACTTTATAAACAAATACACTTAATACGGACAAAATGTACTTTTAGATCTAAATGCTCAGAGGCTTCATGATGTAAATGAAGTTTATTATAGAAAGATTGTGATTTTATGGTAATAAAGGGGAGCATATTAATGATAAAGTATTGCTTCTTAAAAAAATAGTTTAAAAGAAAGTTTTCAAGAGTAAAAGAAAGTTGGAGAGGAAAGTCAAGGAATCGTCGCGTGAAGCGTCTCATCCGTCTGCTACGAGGTGTCGATGGGTCGATTGATCACTGATCAGCGGGTCGTCAATCACTGATTTTATTAAGTTAACAAAAGGAAGTTTAATGAAGGGACAGAAAACCATCCCTAAAGAACAATACATTTTACAGAATAATATTAGTTCAGTTCCTTAAAATGTAAAACTAGAATTAAACATCTTTCAGGTTTCAGAAACTGTCGCTGCTTCCGTGATGATAAAAGACAAAAGAAGTTTCTGTGAGCCAAGTGTGTTTCTACTTTTTATTTATCTTTACTTTGAAAGGCTTTTCATTCATACAGAGTTTAAGAGTTTAATGTGTTAAAAGGGGAAATAAAGGTCTCCTTCTTTTAAAGCTTAAAATCTACGGACGTTTAAGGTTAAGATACATTTTCAGGAGACTATTAAAGTTTCAAATTGAAAGCATCAAGGCTGTTTTAAGGGTTCAATAATGCCATTTTAAAGAGGCAAGATTTAGACCCAGATGTGAATCCAAGAATCCACAAACGGACTAATTAAACCTTTTATTTCACAACACACAGATCTGATGTTTTAGTGTGTGCGTGTGTGTGTGTGTGTGTGTGTGTGTGAACCCTCCTGCTGGTTTGACACTCGTCTGCAGTCTGCAGTTTTTCCTCTCGGCATCATTTCCATCTCACACGTCCTAAAAAGCCTTGAAAGTCGACACACTCTGCTGCTGAATGTCAACTTTGCATTTTAAGCAGCTTCCTCCTGATTTTATTTTCAGTTCGTTCCTGCAGACTTTAAGCTGCCGGTTTGTCTCTGAAATCGATCCTGTTTGTTGTTATATATTAAAAGGAATCAGAGCTGACGACATCAACGCGTCACACGCGTTGATGTCGTCATCAGTGTGGTTAAAGCAGGGTCAAAGCGTTGAATCACGCTTAATCAGATAACTTTATTTTAACGAGGTGCTTGGGATACTAGCAAGGTTTTAACAAAATACAACACATTTCTTGACCTATTTTGACATTTTTCAACAATATTTCTTGATCTATTACGTCCACACTTTTTTCCATCAAATGTTTCCACTTCATTTATTTAGACTTTTTTTCCACAAATTTTAAGACCTATTTTGGCTTTTTTTCTCAGTCACAGTTCGTTCATTTCTCAACCAAACTAATTTTTGTGTTTTTGTTCAGTTACCATTTTGATTTTTTGGCCTAATATTATTTTTGTTTTTTTGAACTATTATAGTTTTTTTTAATTAAATTGTTCAAACTAATACAATCAAACTTTTTGTCCTATAACATTAATTAACTGATATGTTATGGCTTGTTTGGATGTTTGGACATTCAATGACATTCTCATACATATTTAGATTTTTTTTTTAAATAAAAAAAATATATATATAAACAATTTGATCCATTATAATTTGACTTCATATCCATGACATTTGTGTTTTGGGACATTTTTTTCCCATAACATGTTTTGATATTCTTTTACTGATTTTGCATAATTTATTGTGAAAAGGTGTATCCGGAAGTGACCTCCCAATATCCGGTAAACTTGACGCATGGGTTTGTCCGTTAAATCTTTCCCGGATTGTTCCCGTTGATGATGGCAGCCATGGCGGAAATGACAGAAGATCCCGTCCTCGGCGGGGCCGTGGAGCCGGTACGGTCTCTATTCGTTTCTCATATTCAGTTTTTAATTATAAAACATAAATATGTTAACTGCTCAACTGGTAGCACATCAACTAGCTTAACTAACTGACTAACCAGCCTAGCTAACAACCACGCACTCAACCGGCCGGTTGGCTCACTTTACCATAGATATATATGAACTTTACGGTTAGCATGCTAGCTAGCTACATTTAAAGCTAACGCTACATGCTAACGGTTACCTCTCATGTCCGCAGGCGGAGACCGTTACACACGAAACTTCACTCATAGAAACTTTTGAAAACCCTTTGGAATTTTTGCAGGTGTGTTTTGTTATTCAATTTTACAGTTTTTATGCCAATGAAACAAATAGTTTATGTGTCAACGTTTCACATGAAAGAGAGCAGTTTACCAAACTATTCAAACGTCGGCCAATTTTAATACTAGATTAAAAAACACCACATCTGATATCAAATTAAATTGTTAGAATAAAACAAAATTAACATGGTTCTAACAATTGACACTTTGCACCCACAAATGACAGCACAAACTTGCCCAATTTAATTAGAATCCGATGGGCCTCGTTTTTTACCTTTAGTACAACGCGGATATTGTGGTGTTTTCTAATTCTGGATGGCAGCATGTTGAACCGACAGAACCTGCAGCGCCAGAAGAGACGGACGGCACAGAGAAACCAGAGCAGGAGGACAGACAGCAGGCTGAAGAGAGAGACACCGAGGAAGACGGGCAGAAGGACACACTGAGGGACGGAGAGAAAGACAATCAGCAGGACACACTGGGAGACGGAGAGAAAGACAGACAGCAGGACACACAGAGGGACGGAGAGAAAGACCGACAGCAGGACACACAGGAAGACCGACAGCAGGCTGAAGAGACAAACGGACAACCCGATGGAAGGCAGGAAGGACAGACGGTTCGTCAACCTGCAGCTGAATCCTCCATTAAAGAGTCAAAGGTGAGGGTGTGTTTTATAAAACGATTTTCATGTGGAAAACTGGACCAAGACTTTGTATTTTGTAGAAAATATTGTGTGTATTTAATGTATCGACATCATAGTTTTAGTATTTTTGCCTCATCTCATCTTTTGCCTTCGTAGTATAAAACCTGCTGCGATAATTCCCAGCCGGACTATTTGACCGATGGCTTCAGCAGTAGTGTCCCTGTCTCTCAGTGGGTGATGGGGTCTCAGTGTCGGGCGGTGTGGTCGGAGGACGGGCGGGTGTACCCGGCGACGGTGCTGTCTGTGGACGGAGAGCGCTGCAGAGTCTTCTTCAACGGCTACGGCAACCAGGAGGACGTGGATGTGAGCGCGCTCACAAGTCCAGTGGCTGTGGTGCCGCAACCAGCGACACAGAACTCCAAGGTACCGTTTACCAGACGACGTCCCTGAAATGAAACTGTTAAGACTATTAAGACGAGAAATCCCCTTGAATTTATTTAATGGCTGTTTTTACAAAAGCTCCCCAACAATGGAGTCTATGTCCCTAACATGTTTGCACGTGTCCACATGTCGTTAAAATATGGTTTTCAACACCTGGATGCTGTTCTCGTGTCCCTTGAGGACACCTAGCAAAGCTCTCTGCGTGTTTCAGGACTGGAAACCTGGTTTGGTGTGTCGGGCCGTGTTCTCGGAGGACGGTCTGGTTTATCCGGCTGTCGTTCTGTGGGTCAAGGGTCAACGCTGCCGCGTTCGCTTCGACAACTACAACAACGAGGAGGAAAAGGACGTCGGCAGCCTGCTGAGACACAACGAGCTCCACGGATCCGGCAGACCTCCTGCAGCCAAGGTATCAAAACCTGGTCCTGGCTCTCAACCAACATCCCCTCTGATTTACGTTTTCATTGACTCTCATTGTTGTTATTATTATTATTATTATTGTATCTGATACAAAATGAACGCATAAAAAACTTGGTCCTGCAGGGCAGCAACTGGCAGTCCAGTGTAACCAGTAGCAACTCTGACTGGAAGAGCAGGGGAGATGAGAACCAGGGGGAGCGAGGAGGAGGAGACGGGAAGAGAGAGGCGAGAGGAGGAGAGAGAAGGTCGGCATGGAAAGATGAAGAGCAGAACTCGTCCTGGGTGAGTCTTCCAGTTAAGGAGCGTTTGATTCGATCACCTTGGCAGCTGGCTGGGGTTGTAAATGAGCACGAGTGGATTTTTCTGACCTGTAAGGCAGATCTTTTTTTTAAATTATTTTTGTCCTGGAAAACCAGCTTGGAATTGCTTTAAAATCCCTTCAATCATCCATCACCCTTTTTGATTCATTACTTCATGTGAGGGGGGGCGCCGTGCCAACAGGCTTGTCCTTGTCTGTGATTGGTTAATTATATAAACCCCGCCCCTTTAATGTCACCGCTTCATGGCCAGATGAATAAACTGGCTGATTTACTGAGTTGATGACCAGTTTGGAGGATCTAGTTGTTGTTGTCCGACCAGTAGGATAACTGGTATGTTGACCTGTAAGCATCTCAGGTGAGAGCAGCGTCCTTGTTGTGCCTGCAGGTGAAAGACAAACAAAGTGATCAGGGTCACACGCAGATGGAGGAAGAAGAGAAGAAGAGAGGAAACAAAGCAGATAAACCGACTTATCACAGCTCCTCCTTCTTCCCTCCGTTTCCTCCTCCTCCTCCTCTTCAGCCGGGCTCAGCGGTAAAACTTACTATTAACATAACTAGTGTTTATTCCTCCCTCCTATGATCAGTCTGACACTGTGCTCCCCCCCCTTTAGGACTCTGTGTCCTTCGTCCCTCCTCCTCCTCCTCTCTGGCAGTTCAGTAGCACAGCAGCGGCCGACTCCTCCTCCAGCATGTTGATGCTGTGGTACATGTGTGGCTTCCACACCGGCAGCTACATGGTGAGTCGTGTTTACCGCCGATCCTCATCAGGACGATCTAATGAATCATGATATACGTCATAATACGAAGAGAAAGAAGTATGTCAATACACTAATAAACTCACAGTAATGTTGCAGTAGATCATAACGTGTCCAGTAGGAGTGTTCATGTGTTTGAGAACTCCTTCAGAACAACACATGACTTTTATTCTCTGGAGAACCTTTTACTTTAACTTGTTTATGGTTGTTTGTTGATCACAAGCTGTGTTCCCTCTGATGTTTGTATTTGTCTCAGGCTCAGCAGGGGTTCAAGTCCAACTCCAAGGACTGAGGTAAGAGCTGCGCTCGCACGCACACACACACACACACACACACACACACAAGCGCGCACACTCACACACACAAGCGCACAGGAGCTTCCACACTATTTCACCACACTAAAGTCTATTTGACTAGTTTGTTATAAAGGATCAATCCACCTTTTTTTTCATTCATTCATTCGTTCAGCTCAGCCAATGAAAACCTGTATGTTGTCACAGTGATGTCATCACACCACAAACATGCCGTTGTGTGGCGAGACATCATCCAGGTGCATTATGGGAAACGTAGGATCCAGTGTTTAAGGGACTAAAAGTCCAGAAGAGACGGACTGACAATGTGTGTTTTGTTTTTTCTGTTTGCATTGAGCGGCGATCAGAATCGATGATTCTTCTGTTCTGTGACGGCCGACTCGCTACTTCATGACTCATTTAGGAGGAAACTGAAAGGCTGCTCTGAGGATTTTAATTTCAATTTCAATTGAATATAAATTCTAAATTAAGCCTGACTGAAATCTTAAGAATATGGTCTTTTTCAGAACAAAGCGGAGGCTTTACTGAGTAAACCTATGGAAGTCTTTGATTTCATGATGAGATGTGAATCTTATTTAATTCATGTTTTCTGCCTCAGAGCCAGAGATTATGGGTCCAGAAGCCCCGGGGAGGCCTTTCTTTGCTTTTTGATAAAGTGCACTTGTATAATTTAGTTTATTTGTTTGACTGATTTCATGCTGGAATATTTTGAATGTTCATCGTACAGAATCCGTTTGTGTTCAGAAGTTTGATTCGAGTTTAAGTGTTCAAGACTGTGGAATTAAAAACGAAAGGTGGACAACTCGTTTCCCTCTTTGTCCTCATTTTTATACTTTTTAACATTTAAATGTTCAGTTCACACAAATCACAGAAGGTATGTTTAAACTTTGTTGGGAGTCTTCTCTGACTAGAAGACCACGGCTTAAACTCACACATGCTGGTCTGATGTTCAATTGTAGTTTCACACTAATTGGGGAATAAAAACTTTAAATTATTTAGTGGTTATTTGCATTAAAACTTATTTTTGAATAAAACATCTAATCATAAGTAGATTTTAGTATTTAGAAATTTAAACCACTCATAATTCATCTCTAATATATATTTTGTTAATGTGAAAACTGTTCCTCTAAACTACTGGATTTATTCACGTTTCTCACCAACACTACATTTGACCAGATTGCTCTTGAACACACCATGAGTGCCACGTGCGGCTTATTAGCTGCATTATTTAGCCAAACAGGACTGTGCTGCTAACGGCTAACAGCTAGCTAGCTGCTAGCAGATCTCCTCATGGCCTCTTTATAAACGGTTTACGTCTGAAGTGCATCAAGCTTCCGTTGCCCCCAAACTTTCCTTGTTTCCCAAAATTTCCCAGAATGCCTTTGGGCTGCAGTTACCGGCCTTCCGCACAAACCGAAGGATCAAACTTTACACTGTTGCTTGTTTCTGGATCCTGAGACAGAAACGTCTTTACACAACTTGCTGTCCTCAGTCTGTTGAACAGATTTTTTTTTTTTTTTAACCAAGATGACATTTAAAACTAATGTTTTTATGAACCACAGTGAATTAATCTGAAACTCGTAATTTCTGTATGTTCCATTTTCATTGTGTTGTAGCAGCGTAGAGGATCTGCTAGTTGTGTTTATGTCCCGAGCTCATTAATCTAAAGATGTGACATGAAGCACTTCAGTCGTCTCACATAAAAAATACAGCATCAATTATAAATAAATACTTTATTTCCTTTAAACACTTTTCCTTACAGTTCATACCAAAATGTCTGTAGAAAAACAAACGTAAGTCCAGAGGAAACGTTTCGTAAAAACAAAGAGTCACTGAAGAAAAGTGACACCTGACCGGATATTAATAGATTGACTTGACCAGAATATTTTATTATTAATCCAGATGGATTAAATGTAATGTTGCTATTCTAGTCATTAAGTAAACAGAGGATCTCATTCATCCAAACGAGTTGACTTTTCAAATTTAAAACTACTGAGATCTGTCATCTTTATTTCAGCCGTCCTTGCTCGTTGATGTCAGATTATTTTGGTCTGTTTCTTATTTTCTGGGTTTCAGGATTTGTTTTATTGTGTTTTTTAGTCTTCTCACATCTTGTTGGAAAAAGAAAAGATGATCCTTTTTAATTAATTCACACAAGATCAGAAAATTTGATTCAACGATTCCTTTGTGTCAAACTCAAAGTAGAGGAGATGATTGACACCTCCTCTTCCTCCTCACCATCATTGATATGGAAAGCAGACAGAATCACGCGCAGAATAAGAAAACCAACGCGGAGCTGGTGTCTTCCCTCGGGACGTGACCGGCGGGGGATGATATCATCGCGCGTAAAATAATCAATCTACATCTAATGTGAAGAAACCGGAGTCGGTTCAACTCTCCGTCTCCACGAGGCCGACACCAGGAGGTCCACAGCTCAGCTGAATGCGCTGGTCTGGAGTCAGTTTGCAGTAGTTAAAGCACGCAGTCAGAGCAGAAAAGGCTCAGAATGAAAAAGGAAGCAAAAAGAAAATTCATTGAAATAATAATAGTAATAAGCAGAGGGGGATTATCGTAATCATCCGCAGAACCCTCACGCTTGCTTCTCCACTAACTCCTTTCTTTTTCCAATACAAGTTTAAAAAAAAGAATGATTATCCTGCTGAGGGTCCTCGAGCAGCTTTGGCATCAATGGTCAATAACTGTTTGGTCCACGTCTTCCTCCTGCGGCTGTCCATAATCAATATCACCAGACGGTAAACGCACGACTCCTCCGATTGGTCCGCCGAACACGAGACGACTCATCTGGAACACAGACACAGATAACGGCAATGAGATCGATCGGCAGATCAATGTGAGCCCAGTCCAGGACTCGATCAGTGACGAGTTCTTAAGACCTCACGTGTCACTTTTGGGATCCACTATCTGATCAGCTGGGATGTTTGTTGTTGTTTATGTGTTTAATTATTGGATTTTGCACATAAATTGCAGTGAACAAGTGCCAAGTGAGCCGGTGACTCTGTTGTTGTGTGTTGACCTCTGACCTGCGGAGGCCGCGGGCCTCGTACAGCGTGTCGTCCTCATCGCTCTCCACCGCCTCCATCTCCACCGAGTCGTCGTAGTTGGACAGCAGGCCGTACTTCTTCTTGTGCGTCGGCCTCTTCAGACTGTGGGACAAGAAGAGCGCGGGTTAAATCGTGGGATTCACAGATGGAGTTTGGTTTGATATCTACGCAGGAAGAAAGGCAGGAAAGGAAATATTAAAAATGGTATAATGACAAAATGAAGAGAGTCTCCCAAAACGTCATGGACATGAACCATAGTTCTGTGCTGTCTGGAGAGGGAATCTTGCATTTATAGATATATGAATGTGGTTTAGTGTCACAGCAGTAGTTATGTACCTTCTACCTTCCGAGATGAAGTCTTAAATTGCTCTTTTTATGAAAGGAAAATCCATCATAACAGAATAATCGAATAGCGTAACGCTCATACTAATACACATTTTAAATAATATAACATAAAAAATAAATAAACATCTTTATGATCATCTTCCATCCTGCGTGTCCTCTCACCAAACTCCGTTCAGAATCACAGTGATTTAAGATTCGGCTCTCCTTGTTAAATGTGACGCGTGGTTTCCTCGAAGCTGCGGAGCGTCTCTTCCCTTCAGCCAGAACCCGATTAATGGATATTTTAAAACTAATCATAACAGTAAATATACAACAAACCACTTTAACACCGTCTCCCTTCGCGTGTCACCTACAGATTTAACCCGTTGACTAATTCCCCGCTTTTGCGAAGGGAGTTCGGTTGGAGGCGGTCCCGCTCGGGCTCTCACCGCACGGCTCGGATGAGGAAGTAGAGGACCCCGATGGCGGTGATGCCGATGAGGACGTACAGGGCCCTCTGGATCATCGAGCTGTCCGCCCCGAGGCCGTCCAGCATCCCGCCGCGGCTGTTGGTCGAGTTCCCCCCGCTGGAGTTGGTCGCCGCCGGTCGCGGCACCGCGGGGCCGCCGGCGGTGGCGGCGGCGTCGTGTTGGACGTTCGTTGCCGCCACCGCCTCCTCCGCGGCGGCGGAGACGAACATCCAACCGAGCGGAACCAGAACCGCCGACAAAAAACCGACGGGAGTCATGTTCGCAAAAAAAACGAAGGGGGTAAACAATGGCGGGAGAGTTTGCTCCTCGGTTCCACGTCGCGTAAACTGAACTCTGTTGATACAAGAAAAGTGGAGACTCGGAAGTTCGCGTCCAACTGCCGCTGACGTCACGCGCGTGTTTGTGCTCCTTCCGCCCTCGGTTTGCCTCGCAGGCCTGTCAGGTAGTTCCCGCCAACCGATCGCACAATGAATCCGGGCAGCCGCGAGTCAAAACACAGGGTTTAATGTGCACGCTGTCTCACGTTAAATCAATAATCCCTGAAACGATCTATAACAGTCCGCCCGTTTTTTCTTTTTCTCAAATATCGGTGGCCCAATGATAAGAAATTAATTTTAAATGATTTCAGAGTCAATTGAACTGAAGGGCGACTCCAGTTTCAGAAAAAAACACATGAATCATCATGTGCAAAGTAAACACCTGTGTACAGATTGTCTATTGTCTGGTGTTGAATGACGGCTGTGGAAATCCGAGTTTATGAAGAAGGGGAGAAATGATCGAAAATTATATGTCTATTAAAATATAAATGTTTAGACACGTTGGGTCTATTGTTTGTTGTTATTGAAGAGATGAATGAGAAAATAAATCCACTCTCACCTGTCCGTCCTGACTCATCACAATCCATAATGTTTATAGAAGTATAAATGTTTGTGTGTGTGCGTGTGCGTGTGTGTGTGTGTGTGTGTGTAGGAGAAAAAGTTGAATGTATTCTTGTCAGCTGTTTCTCGTCCTCTAGGTGGCGCTGTGGTGTTTTAGGTGAATGAAATAGGATCAGAAGGGTGTTAATTAATCTCATATTTTGCCGAATATTTTATTTAATTGTCTTGTTCATATATTTATTAATTTATTCCCCCCCCCCCTCCCCCCTCCCGAATGTACTCAAACTGTATGGACAACACTTTTCAAATTTTTGATTTGTGTTATTTTACATACATCATTTACGCATTAAAACACTTAATCATTAGAGTTTTCATTTCTCATATTTGAGGTTTATGAAGATTCTTTTAGAGGCTAATATAAATAAACTAAAATGCTTTAATCATCACACATTAATGTCTTAGCGAACATTTAAAACTTCGAATAAACAGACTATACAGATACTACAATCTGACAGACCTTCTCTTTGCCTGAAGTGAAAGGACGACAGATCCACGTGACTCCCATGAGCAAGGCACGTTTATTGGTCCCAGAGTTGCGGGTTTGACTCCCGCAGGATCAAAGTCTCCAGATGCGATGCTAATGTACATTTATGTATTTAGGTTATTTCTGTATTTAGGTTGCCGACCAGTCTTCGGTGACGGACAGGCGGGCCGCCCAATGGCAGAGCGGGTGGGCTCCCCCCCCAGCCGCGCTGTGATTGGCCGGCTCGGTGATAGAGGGGCGGGGCTGTGAGATTACAGCATCCCTGCCTCTCTCTGCGGATCCAGCGGACATCTGGAGCTGCCCTGCCCGGGAATCAAACCTCCGAGCACCAGAAGACAGACGTCCCGCACCGAGACAGCGCGGGTTTCGCCGTCCTTCTCCCGCTGAACACCCGCCCGGGCTCCGGTGCCGCTTCTTCACCGGGGGACTGCAGCGCTTCGGAGAGACCGCGTCTGCCGGTAAAAACACGGAAATACGACAAAATCCCCGAAGGAGGGGTGATGGACTAAAGTGATCCGTTATCCGAGAGGATTGTAGGCCCCGATGGAAGCTGCGACACATCTGGACCTGGTCCGTCCGCGTCCCAGTTGCTGCCCCGGTCTGGACTGAAGAGTCGAGTTTGTCCCCGAGGATTTCAGATTGATTGTCTTTCTAGTTTTTCGGGTCAGATCTCTGATAAACGGTCCCGGGTTGAGAGTTTGAGGGATCCTCCTCCTGCCGCTGGTCTGGATTAAAGCCCATCAGGATCATGAACCATCCCCCCTCTGCTCCTCTAATCTGGGTTTAAATCTGAGGTCTGACCTGGTTTACTCCGCTCACGGATCCGATCGGGTCACGCCTGACCCGGTCTGAAGCCGGCCTCGGTCCTGGTTCTGACCTCGCGCTCGGTCCAGGTCCCCTCAGTCCTGGTGTCGGCGGAGTGCTGCTGTGGCCATGCCGACGTCCCGGCCTGGTTCGGCGCCGGTGGAGTTCTGGGTGGACGGGTCGAGGCGGGACGGGGCGGTGGAGGAGTTCTACACCCTGAGCTCTGAGCTGGGCAGGTCTGGACCACTTTATTTGGGGGGTCGAAAGGAGACAGGCTCACATGGCCTCCTCATTGGACCAAAACCACCTCCATAAGGGGTCCATGGGATCCCCACGTGTCATGTCTTAGAGCTGCATTCTCTGTAGTGGCCACCAGGGGCGACTCCTCTGGTCCCATAGACGTCTATGGGAAAACTACTGTACTTCTCTGTTGATTTATTCCCTCAGTGAACAGTGTAAACGTGACTTTATGGTCTCAATCTATAGTTTCAAAACTTCAACACAGCACGATGTTTATCGAGTAAATTATGGTCTATTTTGAGTCAAATTAACCATTGGGGGGGCTTTGGGACGGGGTAATTGGTCTCTACGTCCTCAGTTAAAATACGATCACTTCCTGTTCACTGGTTTAGGAATCAAACTGGTGGTTCAAAATGCTTCATAACGTCCCAAAAAAAACACCAAAAAGTCACATAATGATGATGACGTCCACTTATATGGAATGCCGTTTTAGTCAAAATTAAATAAATGAATAAATACATGAAATATGCATTTGAAATACATCACGAAATAAATAAATGAGGCAATAAATACATAAATATTAACTACATTTAATTATTTCATGGTACTTTTATTTCATAATGCCACTTTTCATTTCCAGAGTCTTTTATTTCATAATGCCGTTTTTAATTTCCAGAGACTTATTTCATAATGCTGTTTTTCATCTCACGTTCTTATATGCAAATCAGGGGGCGTGGCTACATCTACCATTCAGAACAGACAACAGAGCCGTGTGCAAAAAAGGCTGGCTAAGGGACGTGAGTGTTGACATAATGGAAGACATCGGTGGGCTCCGAGGTAGCATGCTAGCATTAGCAGATCAAGGCCGTTGGCCATTGTGAAATAAAAGTCTCTGGAAATGTAAAACGGCATTATGAAATAAAAGACTCTGTTGTGATTGACAGGTCACTGCCAGATACGCATATGGTGTCTCTAGGTCCTCCTCAGTACAAATTAGGACGCCTCAGAACGTCTCAAAGCAACGCGAGACGTCATGACGGCGATGCCAAGTTCTTCTAAACAGTTAGTTGCTCAGACCCGTCGAATATGAAGATCCTCTTTCTCAATGTAAATCAATGGGGAAAAGGGTATTTGAGCCCCATGACATCATGTGATGGACCAGGAAGTTGTAATCACGCCGTTTGTTCACTATGTCACTCCCTTTGGTTTGGACCCTGAACGATTGTCTGCATTGAGGCGAAACTCTCCGTTAGCGATTCAGATTCATTTAAACCTTTTCTCTGCGTTCGTCGGGTTCTTTGTCACTTGAGTCATTTTGAATCAGTTTGCGACGCTCTCGGTAAAAACTGAAGGCTCTTCGCCGTCGTCTCTGAGACACATTTCTGTCGGCTGATTCTGGCTGCAACATCAATATTTAAACATCGCTAATGCAACACACATTAAAAGCGCGGTCATCTTGGATTTGTTGCCGTGGTTCCTGCCGATGGAAATGAAAAGCCCAGAATGCCCAGTGTGTGGAACACCAAGACATGACAACGTTTCTTTGTTCCACTGAAACGATTCTGTGGTTCACAGGCGCCGATCCCAGATCAGTAGGACTCCTTAGATAAAGGCCACAAGGACAAAGTACTTCCTCATAAATGCCACCCTGGACTTTGCCCTTTAATACATCTGCAGCACAGAGGATTGTGGGTCAGAACATCCAGAGAGGCCTGCTGGCTGTTTGGGTATTGAAACGCACAGGAAATATAAACTCTCACATCCCCCAAAGCATCATGGGAACTGCAGTTCCAAAATACACTCTCCGCAAACATGGTAAGACAAAGGATTTCTTTTTTAAAGATTTCTTTTCTCTGATAGTTTTAAGTTCATCGCTCAGATCGACCCGTTAAATAAGATGACGTCAAAGCCAATTTTAATCTGTCGGGATAAAAATTTCCCAAATATTAAATATTAAAATCACTGGGCAGGTGACGTTAAGTCCCTGCAGTCAGAAACCTTATAATCCCGAACAGATATCTGCGTATGAATGGGACAAGAAATTAATTATATATATATGTGTTATCATTATTTATCTATTTTTTACCAGGATTTATTTATTATCATTACTTTAAAAATAATATGAATATGTCAGCGGTGAATTTAGCAACGTGTGAGCAGGCCACCAGTCCTGTTACCAGGTGTCCTGTTGCCATGGAGACCGGCCAGGACCGGTGTGTGTGTGTGTGTGTGAGAGAGAGAGTGTGTGTGTGTGTGTTTGTGGCTTCTCTTCAGATGGATTTGTTTCCTCCATCTGTCCCAACAGAATAACAGATCCCCCCCCTACACACACACACACACACACACACACACACACACACACACACACACACACACACACACACATTTTAAGAATTGTTTTCTGCCCAAATAGAGAACAATGTTTTTACCGTCAACATGACTTATCCCGGGGAAAGACGAGGAAAACCCAGTTCATCCAGTTTGTCTCAATTTCCTGCAGTAAAATAACTAATTAAATAAACAATAAAAGAACTGGCGCCACTCTGTGAAAATACGGCTGTGACTCTGAGCTATCCGGACCCAGCAGCTAACTGGATTTATGTCACTCACCCTTTGTGTGTTAGAAACTAAAGCTTAAAAACAAACCGTGAAGCGTGGTCCAGGCAACATGTGATGGGTTTATTGATCAGGGCTCACGTTTAAACGGAGAGGCCACGGATGTGCGGCTTCTCGCTCCGGAGGATGATGGGGGATTATTTGTGGGATGTTTTCCTGTTTTTTTATTATTAAATGAGTGTGTTTGTAAGCATACTAGTTTTCCTCTAACGGCCGAACCGTCGTCACAAAGCAGCTACGGCAGAAATATGGCGGCTAAGTTTAGCTAACGTTAAGCATCACGTAAGAACTCCAAATATATCCATATTTATTTGTAATATTATTTGTGCTTCTTTAGAAAAAATGAAAGTATTACTTTAAATGGAGTTGTTTTCACTGAAAATGCCTTTCTAAGGTAGAAGTATGCGAGTAGTACGAGTAGCATTTAGTTAAAGAAGTATTGGTTTAACTTTTCAGAGGAGCAACGTCCATCGTGTATCGCTGTGAGGAGAAGCAGACTCAGAAGCCCTACGCTCTCAAAGTCCTCAAGAAAACGGTCAGTGTTGTGTCAGGGTGAATTTTTATTTTTAATTTTATTTGAGAATAAAATAGCGCGTCCCGTTTTGAATGGATACGGGACGTGGTTTGTCCGTCATCTGCATCCTCCGAGATGTCGTCAATGCAGCGTCCCATGCAAATAATCCCACCCGATTTCTGTGAGGACTCGTCCTATTCTGTCCCTGATCGGGGACGATGAGGTTCCCTCAAGCCAACATCGTGATCCTGAAGCGAACTCCACGCCGACGAGGGCAGAGATGCTAACTCTTAAACCGTTCAAACTGAGCTAGCGGGAAAGAGAAGCTAAGCTAATGGTGCACAGTAGCTAACTCTAAACTAAGGGCAGCAAACCTTAAACTAGAGGTTAAGGAAAAGTTACTTTAATGGACTACCAGCTTCGCCGTTCTCCCGGTCTGTGTTGTTCGATGCTAAATTCAAATACTCTGTTTGTGTTGTTGGACTTTATACACAACAGTTAAGGTTCAGTTCCTGTCAGACTTTGAACACATCAGATGTTTTACGTTGTTTTTTCTGTCGTAGATTGACAAGAAAATAGTTCGCACGGAAATCGGCGTGCTGTTGCGTCTTTCCCACCCAAACATTGTAAGTATGTTCCTCACCACATTGATCCAACAGTTAATAACTGATCAACTAACGTGACCATCAGTTGATCTTGTGTTTTATATATTTTGTATGCGCTAGTCTACAACAATTTCACGATGTGACGTTCTAATGAATTAGGACCTGGTTCTCCACTAGAAAAGGTTCTCCATTAAACAGGATCTCAATGAGAACAGGCTACTGAGAGTGGTACCTTGTCGTCTCTCAGATCCAGCTGAAGGAGATCTTCGAGACGGACACGGACATCGCTCTGGTGCTGGAGCTGGTCACAGGAGGAGAGCTGTTTGACAGGTGCAGTGCGTCGCTCCACCTATTTGAGTTGTATCATATTATATCAATGATCTGAGGTCCACTCACGGAACCATCAGGAGAGAGGATTCTCAGGTCGATGGATTTTATTGTAGTTAATGGTCAATGGACACTAATTACTAATTTGATAACAATGGTAGTATTACAGTAACATCATGATGATAATCAATAATACATTGACATTATTAATAACCTATTAATGTCTAGTAATACACTAACAGTATTATTATTATTGCTCATATATCAATAGTTCCAACATTGTTGATTATACATTAACATATAAAATAAGAACTGACACATTAACATGAATATGAATACACCAACATAATTCATATTATTGATAATACATAAATCATTGGTTTCGTCTGGTGTTGGTCCTGGAATAAAAAAAGAGAAAACGTTGTTGGAGAAATAAACGATTAACTGGTGTTTGTCTTCAGGATCGTGGAGCGAGGTTACTACAGCGAGAGAGACGCCGCTCACGTCATCAAACAGATCCTGGAGGCTGTGGCGGTGAGGCTGCTGCATTCAGTGCCTGTTGTCATTGTCAGTAAACTACAGCACCGTCTGGGTGTCTGGTTAGCGTCACAGTCGGAGTGGATCATCCGGCTCCATCCGGCCCTCTGCTCATTAGATTACTGTTCACTTCCTCCATCTCTGATTAGTCGCTGGGACTCCACACGCTGAACCGCTGGACACGAAGCAAATCCTGGACCACGTTTAGCTTCTAGGTTCTGTTTGCCGGAGTTAGCTTCTAGTTAGCTTCTAACTCACATTGTCCTCACTCTTTGTGTTAAGGCTAAACATCAGCCCTTGTATTAACTATGCACATAGATATGAAACAAAACTACTTTAGGTGATTTAATTTCTTATTGTACTGTTTCTTTAAGGACGTCTAATTGGTGTACTGTTTCTTTAAGGTTTACATGAAGTCTCCTTCGAGTTTTATCAGTACATAAACAGCCCTGTGTTCCCACAGAAGCAGATTTAGTAGTGGAGATGTAGGAGTTTGTCCTCCTTCCAACTGATGAATCACACTCTTCCTCCTTCTCAGCAGATCTTATCTAACCGGAAGTTATAGCACGAGACGAGGTGTTCACACAATGCTTTTCAGAGAAGCGTTTGTATGATGAATAAAAACGGATGTGCAAACAGTTGAATAACGAATGTGAGTTGGGTAGACGGCTGTTGGTCAGAGCAAAACCTGTTGTTGTTGTTGTTGTTGTTGTAGGGGTTTTGAAGTAGTTAATTGGAGTAGTTAGTTCCAGTAGTTATAGTAGTTGTTGCAGCAGTATTTACTTTTCAATTTACTATCAGCAGTTTTACTAGTAGTATTCAAGCAGTTTTTCATTGTTGTAGTAGTTGATTCCAGGTGTTGCAGTAGTTAGTTGCATTGGTTGCAGTTGTTAGATACATTCGTTTAAGTAGTTAGTTGCATTGGTTGCAGTAGTCATTTGCACTAGTTGCAGTATTTAGATCCAGTAGGTAATTGCATTATCTGCAGTAGTTATTTTCATTAGTTGCAGTAGTTATGGTAGTTAGTTCCATTAGTTAGTTGCCGTAGTTAGTTGCGACAGTAGTAGTGGTAGTAAGCAGTTGCATTAGTGGCAGTAGTTACTTGCATTAGGTGAATTAGTTAGTTGCATTAGTCAGTTGCTATAGTCAGTTGCAGTAGTTAGTTGCAGTAGTAGTTGCAGGTGTTGCTTTCAGCAGCTTTATTGTGGAAACTGTCAGCCTGCAGCAGCTGCAGGTCTCTTATGTAACAGCAACTTCCATCCTGCTGCAGATCAGATTAAAGCCAGAGAGGATTAATAAACACACACACACACACACACTCACACACACACACACATAAATATAAACACGTAAACACAATCTGACCACAGCTGACCTACATCTACCACGCAGAGAAACATACGCCTGTGTATGTCTGTGTGTGTGCGCATCAGGATTACAGTGCGGTTGTATTTGCTGTATCACACAAGTGTGTTTGCCGTTAATCTGCAGCACGCAAACATCCTACACCTCCTGAACACACCAGCATCTCTTTTGCACCAGTTTGTAAAGCTCTGGTGTTTTATGCTCACGCGGGTTCTCTGAAGGGAGAGGCGAGCTGCAACAAACCACCAGAATGTTCTCGTCTCCCTCAGACGATTATTCAAATGAGACAAATAACAGTTAACCTTATTTTGAAAGAAAATAGGCATCAGACTATTGTGTGGCAGATTTCATTGTTAGAGAGAGACCCTGAAGGAAATGAGGTCTCTTCTAGTCGCCGCAGACATCAGCTGATCCGAAGAGAGGAAGTGAGTGTTCCCAGAGCAGCAGGGCATGCTGGGAGCTGGGGGAAGAGGCCATCTGTCAGCCCGTCCTGCCAAATCTCCTCCGCCTCCCACAGACACCTTTAGGCTTTTCATCATGTGAAACCCGCTGCTGACTTCTATGTACCGATAAACCCTGTCGTTGTCTTTTTCAGTATCTTTACGAGAACGGAGTCGTGCATCGAGACCTCAAACCAGAGAACCTCCTGTACGCCGACTTGTCTCTGGACGCTCCGCTGAAGATCGGTAACCACCCAGTGCCCACCTCCACCCTCTGACTCCACGTTACATCTGCTGATGACACACGGAAACGAAGATTCACTGAGCCTCCGCCCGATAAACACAAGTCAGAGTGTCTTGAGCTTAATATCAGAGTGAAGCCGAGAACTTACACAACAAAAAGAGGGGAAAGTCACATAAAACCCCCGTTCTGTGTTTCCCAATCAAACTGACCTTGTGATGCTGCTAATTCTACCGGCACCTAAAGGCAGCTTCATGCTCGATGGGGACAGAACATTGGACAGCGAGCTCGTCGCTGGCTCGTTATCAGATCCCTGGTATTTGGCGGTCAGGAGAAGCCTCTGTGTTTTTGCGCGTTGGCTTCCAGATGGCCGCTGGGCCTCCGGCTAACAGTTACAGATGGAATAAGCTCAGCCTCCGCTCTCTTTCATGAGACTCTCCAACACCAACGCCTTCCTCTTTGGTTCAGAGACTCTCCTGTACAGAGACACACGCTCCTCCTCCACATTCACACTCCCTCCCTTCACTTTAAATAGAAACAGGAAACAGGCAAAAACACCTCAATACGAGAAACGGCTTTTATTCTCAAACCCCCAACAGATAAAAATAAACAGTGGATCGTGTGGTAGAATCCATTAACGACAAAACATCCACCTCTCTTGCAGCCGACTTTGGTCTTTCCAAAATCATTGATGACCAGGTGACCATGAAGACCGTCTGTGGCACGCCGGGGTACTGTGGTGAGTTTGACCTTGACGGGCTGCAGGAGTAGTACTTAATGGTCTAGTATTAGCTGTGATACACAGGTACTACAAGTAGGTGTAGTAGTAGATGGAACAGTAGTAGTAAAATATGGTGTCGTAACAGTAATAGATGGTGTAGTAGAAGTAGTAGATGGCATAGTAGATGATGGTGTAGTAGAAGTAGTAGACGGTGTAGTAGTGGTAGTAGATAGTGTAGAAGCAGTAGTAGATGGTGTAGTAGCAGTAGTAGATGGTGTAGTAGAAGTAGTAGATGGTGTAGTAGCAGTAGTAGATGGTGTAGTAGAAGTAGTAGATGGTGTAGTAGCAGTAGTGGATGGTGTAGTAGTAGATGGTGTAGTAGCAGTAGTAGATGATGTAGTAGCAGTAGTGGGTGGTGTAGTAGTAGATGGTGTAGTAGCAGTAGTAGATGGTGTAGTAGCAGTAGTAGATGGTGTAGTAGTAGATGGTGTAGTAGCAGTAGTAGATGGTGTAGTAGCAGTAGTGGATGGTGTAGTAGTAGATGGTGTAGTAGCAGTAGTGGATGGTGTAGTAGTAGATGGTGTAGTAGCAGTAGTAGATGGAGTAGCAGTAGTAGATGGTGTAGTAGTAGATGGTGTAGTAGCAGATGGTGTAGTAGTAGATGGTGTAGTAGCAGTAGTAGATGGAGTAGCAGTAGTAGATGGTGTAGTATTAGATGGGGTAGTAGCAGTAGTAGATGGTGTAGTAGTAGATGGAGTAGCAGTAGTAGATGGTGTAGTAGTAGATGGTGTAGTAGCAGTAGTAGATGGAGTAGCAGTAGTAGATGGTGTAGTAGTAGATGGTGTAGTAGCAGTAGTAGATGGAGTAGCAGTAGTAGATGGTGTAGTATTAGATGGGTTAGTAGCAGTAGTAGATGGTGTAGTAGTAGATGGTGTAGTAGCAGTAGTAGATGGAGTAGCAGTAGTAGATGGTGTAGTAGTAGATGGGGTAGTAGCAGTAGTAGATGGTGTAGTAGTAGATGGTGTAGTAGCAGTAGTAGATGGAGTAGCAGTAGTAGATGGAGTAGCAGTAGTAGATGGTGTAGTAGCAGTAGTAGATGGTGTAGTAGCAGTAGTAGATGGAGTAGCAGTAGTAGATGGTGCAGTAGTAGATGGTGTAGTAGCAGTAGTAGATGGTGTAGTAGCAGTAGTGGATAATGCAGTAGTAGATGGGGTAGAAACAGTAGTCGATGGTGTAGTAGCAGTAGTAGATGGTGTAGTAGCAGTAGTAGATGGGGTAGTAGCAGTAGTAGATGGTGTAGTAGCAGTAGTGGATGGTGTAGTAGTAGATGGGGTAGTAGCAGTAGTAGATGGCGTAGTCTTAGTTAGAGCGTCTGTCAGCCATCTGTTGGCTAACGGGCTCCTCTGCCTGCAGCTCCAGAGATCCTGCGGGGAAATGCTTACGGCCCTGAGGTGGACATGTGGTCGGTGGGCGTCATCCTCTACATCCTGTGAGTGCATTCACACCCCACACAGGATAGATTGATTCTCTATGGATTTCACATCTAACTTTTATGGTCTTGAATCGTGAAGCCAGAGGTTATTCTCTAATTGACTAATCTAAAAAGACCACCCTATCATTTTAGTTTATTTTTCTTTCTTGTAAGTGTCTGAGCCGGTGTTTGACCTCCTCAAATACAGCCTTATTATAATAAAGTACTTGTAGCATTCACTGCGTCCTGTTCCCCAGACTCTGTGGGTTCGAGCCCTTCTTCGACCCGAGGGGGGATCAGTACATGTACAGTCGAATCCTCAACTGCGACTACGAGTTTGTGTCTCCGTGGTGGGACGACGTCTCCCTCAATGCCAAGGATCTGGTTGGTCTAAAGAAACGTTTTTTTTAAATAATTTGAGACGCTACTTAGACTCATGTTGAATGACCCCGACGTGTTCTTGATCAAGTCAAGACTGGAACCTGACCTGTGAATATAGTTCTATGCACAACATCTCGTCTCAGATGGTGTCATACTTGCCTGGGACTTGTCCTAAAGGAGTTTACGCTCAACATAAACTTGTCTGCGATGAGTTAAGACCTGAGTTGAGACTCAACAGTTTGATTCTGAGCTCCGACATGACTTGGAGCAGCCTTGAAAGACTTTAACTCTGGAATGTCCTAAACTTGCATAAAGAAGCTTGAGACTAGTTGATGCTAATCGACCGTAACCCTGAGTTCTGTCTGGAGGGGGTTTCCAGCTGGACCGGCGGTCTGAACCCGGTCCTGACCCTGTTTATCCGTCTGCAGGTCAGTAAGCTCATCGTCCTTGACCCCCCCAAGCGCCTCAGCGTCCGGGAGGCCTTGCAGCACCCCTGGGTGCTGGGCAAAGCGGCCCGCTTCTCTCACATGGACACGGCCCAGAGGAAGCTGCAGGAGTTCAACGCTCGCCGCAAACTGAAGGTGAGGACGGCGTCTCGGAGACGACGAATGTCGTTGTTGGTTTGTGGCCTTCACACGGATTGTTAAGATCTAAAATCATCACAATGTTCCTTAAGCTGTAATGTGTCGACAGGCCGCCATGAAGGCCGTCGTCGCTACCAGTCGGATGCACGAGAGTTCGCGGCGTCGCACCGACAGCTGTGAGATTCCAGGCTCGGGGACTTCAAGGCAGAGTAGCATGCAGCAGGACCCGCCTCCTGAGTCAACAAGCCCCGCCCCTGAGGATAAAGAAGCGCCACCCCCGGATCAACAGTCGCCGCACGACGACGAATCAAAGTCCGCTGACCAAAGTGCCCTCAGCCCCTCCCCTCCTTCGACCCCCAAACCACCCAGCTCTGACGTCAAGACCACGGGCTCCGCCCCCACCAGACCGCCGCTGCGAGCCGAAGGGCAACGACATGTGTCCGTCATCCCCAAAACCAAGCTGGTCAAGCCACGGCCGCCGCAGAAGAGCTGCTCCATGATAGAGCCCGCCTCCCGGGCCGAGGCCCCACCCACTCTCACCACGCCTCCGAATCCCAACAGCCTCACCAACGGCTTCACGCCGGGGGCGGAGTCCGCCAGTAAGACTTCCAACTGCCAGTAATCAGCTGACAGACAGGACAGAGACATTTTGGTTCCTCCACAACCACTAGAATGTTCAGCCTTCCACCGTTATAAACATCTACAGTCATTTAATGGGACCAAACTAACCTAAAGTATCTGCATCAACATTTAACTTCCATTTCTGTAGCTTTGCTGCTACGCTAGCATGCTAACAGCTACTTACACACTGAGGGTGTTTTTTTTTTGCTTGGGATGATTCAGGATATGAAGAAAGAAAAAAGCATTTGTTCCACATCGGGACTTACGAGTGATTGCTGATGGCGGTTGCCGTGGTAAGAAAAACTACCAGAGCTCAGAGAAAATGGACTTCTTAGGTCCTTAAATGGGCAGAAAGGAAGTCTTCAACACCGACACTTTTTTTAAATATTTAAAACACATCTCAAAAAAAAAAAAATCCATTCGCAAGTTAAACCTTTTCTTGCATCTTTTACATTTATGAAAAATATTTATATTTTGGGCATAAACAGTAATTATTTAAACGTTTCTAAAACTCCTAAGCTCATATATATGTATAAATATATATACATAAAACAGTGTGATTTTATCCACGTTTGTTATCAGAAAACACTTGAAATGAAACCTCAAGCGAGTCTCCTGCTGTTTGGTTGCGTTTCTTATCACAGTAACCACGGTAACTCATTAACAGTTGGTGATTGGCTGCATCGATCAGTGTCTGGATACGTCACATGTGTGATGGCGCTCGCTGTTAAATAACCATCAGGGTCTGAAGGCCCTTCCTCGTCCGGTTGGAACTTTCCTCCATTCTTCTGCTACGCTTGTTGCGTGTCAGTCTGGATCCATTCGAACGGTTCGGCTTGTTTTTAGGTGTGAAAACTGAAAGAAGGGGAACCGAGCTGAAGGATTCTCAGCTACCCAGACGTGAGATTCTGACTTCAAACATCGCCGGTGTTTTTTTGAGGGGCGGATCCAACCGTTGAAGATTTTCAAAGTTCTGATTTGGGACAAACGGAGACTCCAGATCATTTTCTACTTCTTTGCCTTTTGCTTTTCTCCTTTTATTTCTTTTATTGTCCCCTCATCTTCATCTTCTTCTTTTCACCTACTTTTTTCCTTATTCCTCTGCTCCTTCTGTTCCTTCTTCTCCTTCTTGACTATATTCTGTTTATTTTGATTTTCCATCTTTTGGTACTGAAGGAGACTTTTCCTCGGGCGCTCAGGACGGAGCCGACTGATTGTATTTCATTAAACTTTTTTGAACAAGGACAATGAGGAGGAGAGCAGCTTCTTCCTCTCTCTGTGGTTTCTCTTTCTCTTTTATTTAACAGCTTCAGACAAACTGAGAAACTGCGAAGTTGCTGTTTCCGTTTGAAGAGACACTTTTGCTTTCAGTCGTTTTTTCTGTCCTTTCTACTCTTTGCTGTTGACTTTGTTCTGCAGCTGCATGAGTGATGGATCCCGTGTGTAGTTCAGTGGCGTGTCGTGTTCGTCAGCTCCTAGTGCAACGGTGTTGTTTACACTTGTATCAGCAGGGATGATGAAGATCTCCTGTTTGCACTGTACATATTATGGTCAAAGAAAACTTCTGACAGAGACACAGTCTGCACAGTTCAGACCCCCACCCCTCAAAAGATACCAAATTTGTCCTTTGACCTGATCTGACACCACACGTTCTACCTCTCTTTCCACAGGGGCTTCCAAAATTATTTTTAGAAAGGATGCAGACGTCTCTGGAAAATAAAACTCTCTCTACGGTGGCCCAGACAGACCAAACGGAGGCCGAAGTTTTACCGGAGAGTCACACAAACATCTGGGCCTTTCATTCATGAAGAGAAAGTCCTTCCTGGATAGAAATACTCAACGGGACATATTTTGTATTACCATTTACCTTCACGTATTAAACCTACACATTGTCTAGAAGTAGGGCTTTTCTGCTTTTAGAAGTTAACACCATTTCATATTTTTTACTGAAGGCGAGGTTTGTTCCAATCGGCATGATCGATACGGGTGAATCGGTGATGGTCTTCATTTCTGAAAGAGCCTTTGCTTTTTGTTCTGTCTCAGCCACCGTAGGAAATCCTGGACCGGGAAGACAAACTCTCTTTAAAAAGGAACCAAACTTCTAGAACCTGGTGGTGGGAGAAGAAGATCCTTCTAAGTAAAAGTAGGACACGGTCCCCACTGGCGTCGCCTCACCCTGACTCCGCCCACTTGCAGCGCTCCAATCAAATGCATATGGTTTAATTTGAATCCCTCTGTATCTGCCCACGCTTGAGTGCGGAAGATGTGGATGGAATGAACTGGTGTTTGCTGTCGGGTGATGACGTCACACAGGTGGACGCTTCACCCGACCGGTCGTCACCACTAGATGTCGGGCTTCATGTGGTCCTGCTGGTCCAACCGGGCCCTGTTCAGAGGGACATGGTGGTCTGCAAGGCTCAGTGGGCAGTAGATGAGAACATCTAATATGTTTACACAATATGGTTTTAATCATTTTCCCCCCGCGTTTCGCCAGCCGGGAGAGACCGAACCCCCCCAGAGCACCTCCAGCCTTCTCTCACTGATGCCTCGTGGCCGGACAGAAAGCTCTGCGATTGGTCGAGTCCGACGCCAGTCAAAGTAGGCGCTTCAGTGTTGTTGAAGGTCTCGCCTTACGGTTTGGTTCCTCTTCAAATAGTGTAGAAAAAACAAAACCGCCGCAACGCTCACCTATTTTCGCCGTCTAGCCGCCCTCAGGTGTTCACCTGTCCGCGGCGTCTAGCCGTCCTCAGGTGTTCACCTGTCCGCGGCGTCTAGCCGTCCTCAGGTGTTCACCTGTCCACAGTTTAAAATGTCTTGCCAAATGCAGATATCTGGATATTTAGCTGTCATGGTAGAAAGCATGTACTCTGTATATTTGATTTACATATATACTCTTATTCTGTAAAAACATGAATATTTTGCTTCTATTTATCTTGACTTCTGTGTGACGGGGGGGGGGGGGGGACTAATCTGTCAATTATGTTGGTTTTGTGTTTGCTGAGTGAACTTGTACCTCTTTTTATTTTGAAGGATGACATATAAACTGACAGCTGTAACACGTGTATCTCTGCATGTATCATTTATTTATTGATCATATCAGATTAAAGACTCAACCGGAGCGGACACTTGGTAACAGCTGATCTGATTGAGCAGGATGTAACACGAACAGTAAACAGTAGTTGAATCAGTTATGGCTTCTGTCATTGTTCTTATATGTTATTCATTTAACTTTCAGCTTTACTTTACACACATTTATTTTCTTCATGAATGCTTAAATCGTTCCCTCACAATGCCAGAAGGAAAGAGGTATTTATTTATTGGTATTATTGAAACATTAAGTCACCCCCAGTGGACTTAAGGAGATCATTTTCAATGTAAAACAGACATGAAGTTCATAAATGGTGACATACTGCAGTTTTTTTCCATCAGCGGCTCCACTTGCTGGTGTCCAGTCTGGGACTCGAACTCGTGACCTCTGAGTCACAGGCAGTCCTGTGAGCCGAGTTTCTGACGGTAGCGCCGTCCTCCCTGGATCGTCCCGCACCAGTACGTGGAGCTCGACCTCCAGTCCGCCGCTGGCACCTCCCACAACGAGGTGGCGCCGTAGGCTCCGCCCCCACCTGACCCCGTCCGTGACACGTCTGTTGATGTCACCATCGTGTCATTGACCCACCACATGACCTCCCGCAGAGGGGAGTTTGATCCCGTGAGCACGCAGACCAGCAGGGGAGGAGATTCCGGTTGTAGAGACGACGGGACGGACGATAAAATCTGAACTGACGGACCAGAACCTGCAGCGGACAAAATAACAAGAATATATCGTTTCTTCAATTCTCTCTCGCTTTGCTCACAATGAGAACTTGAGTCACAGCACGTTGCTCGTTTGTCAACAGGGAACAATTATTGTTGGAAACTCAATCAAGCCGAGACATAAAACCACCACAGACAAGGAGACTAAATAACCACAAAGAGACAAGACAACCAAAAGGAGACACAAGACAAACAAAAAGAGACACAAAATAACCACAAATAGACATTTTGTTTTATGCCTTCTCTTGACAATTGTAACTGGTTCCAGTTGGTAATCGGCTCATTTTATCTTGTATGTTTCGGAGACGACCTGCTGTCTTGATATGACGATGATCATCATCTCCGTTATAGTCGGCTCCTTCTTCACCAACGTCGACCAGCAGCTGAGTCCCGCCACTGAAAACCACGGAGAAGGAGACGGCGCGTCTGCCGGGCAGAGAGCAAACGCACCAACATCTGCAGGAGGAAACGCACCGTGAGGACAAAGCGACGCTCACAGAGCAGCTTCTTCAGTTTCTCACCGCAGCAGGAAGATGAAGCTCAGAGCCGTATCCATCCCAAAGGCCTCTATCTCCAGCCGTTCAAGCTGCCGAGGAGGAAATACACTGAAATGAAAGTAGAAGTTTTAAATTCTTTGGGTTTTTTTAAGTCCTCACATCTCACTTAAGTTCAAATAAATGTCGTTTTTTTAATCATATGTTTTCATAATATTGAAAAACCAGCATGAGCTTTAACAGACAATTTTTACCTAAAACAAGAGTCCATTTAACATTGTTTGGATTCTGATTTAAAGTCATCGCAAGGATCGTTTTTAACGTCGAATTAAAAGTATTCGTACCTTTTTCTAATAGTGGTCCTTGGAGCTGCGGCTGCAGTCAGTCTGAAGTCTGATGATCTTTGGGTCTGTAAAACAGAAATATGAAAACCGTTGAAGCAGAACACCGACAGCCTCCAGAGGAGGGACGCTGCTCTGGGATCAGATCGACCGTTGGTTCGCAGCTGGTGACAGAAAAACAGGACATCTTCTCACTGTGGTTCCAACTGGCGTCCGAGATAAGATCCCCACACCAAAGAAACACAATCGCTACAACACATAGTGTTGGTCTGTGTAAAACTAGTATGATGAGAATTGTTGTAACATTCTTCTTTTGGTTTTTTAATATTATTATAGCAACATGAAGATCTTCTTACTGTCGACATTGTGTTGAATGAATCTTTCTGTTGGATTTCTCTCCAGGGATTTGATCCCAAATACAACTTGACAATAAGTGTTAATATATAACTATATTGTTGATGTAGTTTTTTAAAGCACTGATATTCCACTATTGTAGATATGATGTACATGCGTGTTAGTGACGTAAAAAAGAGCAGGTTGTCTCCGGATGAAACGGCGCCCCCTGTTTGTAACGTGAGTATAATCAAACAATCACAGCGAGTCTAACTGAGAAAAAACAGGTGAATCTGATTTCTAAGTATTGCCGTATCATTATGTAATAAAATGTGGCACCGTGGAAGTGAATTTAGACAACAGTTAGCTGGCTTCCAGCCATTGCTAATGCTAATGCTAATGCTTCTAGCATAGGTGGCGGCGGAGTGTCAACAAACAAAATGGCGTCTCAGCAACACGTGCGCTGTCATTATCGGACCGATGGAGATGGTTTAAGGACCCTGAAAAAAAAGAGACCCAGCTTCACATCCCGTGAGTCAGATACACGTTGTTACCCGTCTGCCTGTAACCTGTCTGCCTGTTACCTGTCTGCAGTGGCGGGCTGGTCCATAGACTACAGACAGGAAGTAAGAAGAAAAAAGGAAGAAGAAAAAAGAAAATAAATAGTTTTATTAATTTTTGTATGCATACATTTTACAAATAGTCAATATTCGTGTTTTTGTGCTTTTGAAAGATTGATTATATATCCGGTAATATTTGTAAATTAACATATCTGGCAAAATGTATGACGTCCTCTCCGCTTGTCTCAGCTGGTCGGTCCCAAAGCGGCGGGTCAAAGAAGCAGTTCAGCCAATCACTGATGACGTTAATGAGTGACATTATAATTTCAGCGTCGTAAAATACATGGAGATTTGGGCCCTGCGCTTAACAACGTGCGACCACCGGCAGTGTCCTCCAAGAAGACCCGACCCGAACTCGGTACCAGGGTAGAACTTTGCCGGAAGAACTAGAGGTAAAACAGGTGGTAAAACAGGTGGACCCAGATCAGCCCGACCTCACGATCAGACAGCGGCCCGACGCACATACAACGCGTCTGTAGAGACTCCTACACCGGGATGTTTAGCTAGCTAGCTACGCGCTAATGCTGTGTATTTTTCTAGGCTAGCATCATTAAAGTTGACATCGCTGCCCAGCTGCGACGCACACAGGACCGCGGTGAGGACACACAACCAGGACGCAAACAGCCACATTTTATCCAAAAAAATCATTGTGTGACGTTTTTTGGGGCTTTTGAGTCTTTCATCAACACACTGACCGCACACAGGTGCATCTCAATATATACATGTTCTAATAGATTTTATATAAATAAAATAATATATTTATTATATGATATTTATAATTGTTACAGTAAGGTAACCCCTCTATATCATATTTAGAAGTGGTTTTATATATATATTTATTGATATAGTGAATTGCGTTGAATAAGACGTCCTTGATTTATTAAACTGTTGAATAATTTTTTATTATGTTTATTTATTTATATTTATTTACTGTTTACTGATGGATGGCTCTACCAAAAAGCTGTCTTTTAGCTGTCTGTCTGTTACCTGTTATCACCATCTTTCTTTTAATCTGAGGTTTTTAAAAACATACTTATAATTTTAAAAGTATGATGTAAAATGACTATTTGTTATAAATGGTACGGAACCTTTTTATGTTCATAACAACAAAATAGTTAGTGAGGTCATCGAGGTTGTTGTTTATTCAACATTTTACAGGTGTTTCCATTTATCACTTTAACAGTCTTTCTTCCTGTTGTTGTGAAACAAACTCTAAACCGACAGACAGTGAAAGTACAACAGACTGAAGATCCATCCGACTCGGATGAAACCGCATGGCGTCGTTTCTTCTTCTTCTACTCTCCTCCCCGGGTCACGGGGTCACGGCGCAGTAATAAACTGCCGAGTCGCTCCATGTGGCGTCGAGCAGCAGCAGCGAGCCGTCGGCTCCAGCGGAGACCTTCCCCGGGCCCACGGCGGCGCCGTACTTCACGTCGGAGGCGTTTGTGGACCTGAAGGCCAGCAGCAGCTCCGGGCGGCGTCCTGCCGCTGTCCGGTACCAGCTGAGGGTGGAGGAGGCGTTGGTGGAGGAGGCGTTGGTGGAGGCGTCCAGCAGGGGGCACCGCAGGGCGGCGTCCTCCCCGACCCTCACCCGCACGGGGGAGGCTGGCAACGCGGCGGCGGCGTGCGGCTCCCACCGGAAACCTGAGACACGTGTTTATTTATAATCGTTTTCATCCACACAGACAGAATCAATATAACTAAAGTAGGTTGTAGTAGAACTAGTTCTGAGAAGAAAAAAAAAATGCTTTTGATTCCAAACAGTAAGAAATTACATTTGAAACAAAAGTAATAATATAGCTTTTCAAGTTAAAACGAGATGGAAAGTTGATTTAATTTCGTGCCGCTAAGTGGTGACTGACCAATAGTTGCACCTCTGAATATTTGTTCCTCCATTAATCCTGAATATTTAAACATGTAAAGTATCGTTCAGGCGCTGCATTTCTAATCCTTCTTAAAGGAAGCTTTAATTTGAAGGAACGTTCGGCATAAAATCCCTTCAATTTGCCCAAAATGAGTCTTCTACCTGTCAACAGTTGATGCGTTTAGTCACCAGATTATGAATCAGTTGCCTGAAGATTATATTTCAATATCAATTTAAGCATAAAACTAAATATGTGTATGCAGAGTTTAGACATTAATAATATAAACAAAACAACTCACTGCTGAAAGAGAGGATCAGACCAACCAGCAGAGACTCCATCACTGAGGAAGCTGCTAACTGAAAGACTTCAATGACAAAGATGTCCTCCGGTGGTGGAGACACTGAGACAAGAGCCGATCACACATCAGTCCCGCTCTGTTATTGATCCACACCAACAGCTACTTCCTGTTTACTTCCTGGTGTTGCAGTGATGGTTGAGCGTGTGGGTCTAAATCACCAGGGGGGTAAATGTGACCATGGAACACCTGCAGGAAGTTTAAGTAACCGCTTGTCTTTTATAGATGAGAATATTTTCGTTGTAAGATTGAACTAGTTTATAATCCCAAACAGATTTAATAATTAGTTCAAACTTTAGCTATCAACTCGTTTATGTCAGCAGAAAATTAAAACCATAAATGAGTGCAGTCGGTAAATATATGAATTGAATATTATATTAGGAATGTGGCAGGTAAAAGTACCCGTGCTACCCAACCAAACCCTGCCGGTGCCTTGGGGAGGATTTACAGTGGGCAGACTGACCCGTAAACAGGCGTCAGAAAACACTTCCAAGGTTCTAGAACCTCGGGGACGGTCTCATCTGAACCGCTATATTAATAATGTTAATATTATTGTTACGATCATTATAATCACATTATTATTTATACTACTTAAACGTATCATTATTTTATATTATTATCTCTGTTAGTAATATTTATGCATTATTGCCTTTTTATTTATTATTGTTATTTATGTTGTCATTGTTGTTATCATGACAGTTGGACTCTAGGTGTGGCCCCGGTGGGAGGGGGGTGAGGGAGGTGAGGGGGGGGGATTAACCCTCATTAGAGGTGCTCCTGGCAGGAATGACAGATGTTTATAAAGGTGTTGTTTGCTGTTTCCAGGAGTGGCGCTCTGAGCCAATCACAGCTCATGCAGGCAGGGCGGGGGCGGGACCTGTGCCAGCTGTGTGACAGCAGCGAGCAGGAAGTCAGGAAAGAGTGAGAACTGTTGTTGAACGAAGGATCACTGTATTTGTGTTTATTGTTGTTTCTACTTGTGTTTGCGTGTCTCTTATACTGTCTTTACTTCTGTCTCTTCTACTGTCTTTACTTCTGTCTCTTCTACTGTCTTTACTTCTGTCTCTTCTACTGTCTCTTCTACTGTCTTTACTTCTGTCTCTTCTACTGTCTCTTCTACTGTCTTTACTTCTGTCTCTTCTACTGTCTTTACTTCTGTCTTTACTTCTGTCTCTTTATTCTGTCATCTCATCTTCTCTGCTTCTGTCTCTTCTACTATCTCTTCTACTGTCTTTACTTCTGTCTCTTCTACTGTCTCTTCTGCTGTCTTTACTTCTGTCTTTACTTCTGTCTCTTCTACTGTCTCTTCTACTGTCTTTACTTCTGTCTCTTCTACTGTCTCTTCTGCTGTCTTTACTTCTGTCTTTACTTCTGTCTCTTCTACTGTCTTTACTTCTGTCTCTTCTGCTGTCTTTACTTCTGTCTCTTCTACTGTCTCTTCTACTGTCTTTACTTCTGTCTCTTCTACTGTTTATTCTACTGTCTTTACTTCTGTCTCTTCTACTGTCTCTTCTGCTGTCTTTACGTCTGTCTCTTCTACTGTCTTTACTTCTATCTCTACTACTGTCTCTTCTACTGTCTTTACTTCTGTCTCTTCTACTGTCTTTACTTCTGTCTCTTCTACTGTCTTTACTTCTGTCTCCTCTACTGTCTCTTCTACTGTCTTTACTTCTGTTTCTCTTTTTTATCTGTTTCTGTTTCCTTAAGTTTCATTTTTGGGCTGCGATCGTTTTACGTTCTGCTGCCAAAAGAACTGCATAGTTTCTATTCCGGAGTTCATCCACGTTCATCGTTGTGAGGCTGAGAAACAGAAACAGAAAGCCTCAGTCTACACACACACACACACACACACACACACACACACACACTACACACACACACACGGTGCATATGGAAAGTTGTGTCAATGTGTGAGACTTTCCTGTTGATCGTCCTTTCTGGGCACGATAGCGAGGAGGGTGAGGTCTATGGCGGGGAGGCCGCGGGAGGTGGGGGTGGAGCGTGGGTGGAGCGGGTGAGGCAGGGGGTGTGGTCCTGTTCTCTGCCGTCACCCCGTGAGGGAGCCCCTCCCCGAGTTCCTGCTCAGCCCGAAGGGAAAGTCCACATCACTCCGACCTGAGAGACTCACTGAGAGCAGCTGCCGGCTACACAGCTCGTCTTCGTCGACCTCCACCTCTACACCGCTGGTCTTCGTCGACCTCCACCTCTACACAGCTCGTATTCGTCGACCTCCACCTCTACACAGCTCGTCTTCGTCGACCTCCACCTCTACACAGCTCGTCTTCGTCGACCTCCACCTCTACACCGCTCGTCTTCGTCGACCTCCACCGTCGTCTCCATCCTTTCCCTCATGGCCGCCGCATCCAAGTCCTCCCAGATGGTGAAGAACGTGGTGCTGGCCCTGCTGACCCTGTGGTCCCTCATCTCCCTGGTCGTCATCGTGGTGTGGGCGACGTCCCCGGACCTGAAGGGCTCCGCCGCCTGCCGCGCCGAGCTGCAGGAGGCGAAGGAGAAGATGGAGGCGGCCAAGGTGGTGTGGAGCAAGAACAAGGTGGCTCTGGAGGAGAAGCTGGAGGTGGCCAGGGAGGAGCAGCTCCACCAGAGTGCGGAGATCCTGCGGCTGGTGGGACGCCTCGGCGCCACCAACGCCACCCTGGAGGAGTGCCGGCAGGAGAAGGTGAGGTTACCTCCTGAGGCGATGATGTCATCGCTGACTCCTTAGAAGAGAGAAATCCCCTCAGCAGGAATGAAGGAGAGGAACTCTCGTCCTTATCCTGAGTACAAGGTTGAAGTGGAAGGTTAAAGTTACAGAGCTGAGGACGGAGGAGTTTGTCTCCTACGTGTCTCAGATTTTGTAAATGTTTGGAGATATTCGGATGTGTTTCATTTTTTTTGCACAGAAAAAATGTCAGCGTTGGATTTTATGAAAACATATTTAATATTTAAAAAAGCAGCGGATGTTGAGTTTCGACTTGAAACAGTAAAAGCAGATGTTTTGATTATCGTGACAGGAGTTAGTTCACCGTGTTTAGTTTATAAATCTGGAGAAGTCTGAGACGGATCATGGTCACATGCTCTGCTGCACGCCGTCTCCCTTCAGATGAAAACAAACTCCATTTCGCGTGTTTTACTTTCAGTGCTCACACGTTGTTTTGTCTCCACGTTTTTTTAACTAACCAACTAACTGAAGGTCGGACGAGGCCGACAGAAGGTAATGGATGAAACATGGAGAACAGACGATGTGAGACCAGATGTTTCTATACTGAAGTTATAGCGAGTAAACAAACTGATACTGAAAGTAGTTTTGTCTCCAGACCAACGCCCAAAATTATGATTATAATTATTAAAAAATGCCCCGCCCACCTCGCCAAACCGTCTTCCATTCGTCAGCTCCCTCAGCTACATTCCAACAGTCTTCAGCGGTTCATCTGAAAGCATCGAGTCTAAGTAGTCCAGTCTCAATAAGTGATTCCCCCCTTCACCCTCCTCCTGCTGCTCCTCTTTACTCCAGTGGAGATCTTGAGTGGTTCTCCCTCTCAGTGGGCCAGTGTTTAAACTGAGAAGAATTCAGTAGCTCTCAACATTTCCAGCTTAATTTCGTAAGAGTTGTTGGTTGGAAAAAGTGAGTGTTTTCCTCCCTCTCTTCCCCCCTTGCCGGTTGGTCCTGACTTATTCCTTGTCTCCTTACTTCCCCTCTGGTCTACTCGCCGCCTGACCTCTTTATCACTGCTCCTCCTGTTAGAGTCTCCTCATCGCAGAGGCTTCTGGAATATTCCTATTTTTTTATTTATGGAAACGGAGAGAAAGCGAGCAAACAGTTGGCTGCCAACCGACGTGCGGGAGAGATCCCACGGCTGGTACTACGTTACCCAGAATCCCCTGCCAGCAGTGCATTCCAATCACGCCTTGGCGCTCAAGAGCCCAAAAGAAAGTTCTGTTCTTGTGAAACATCGACAGTCACTTCACTGTGGAGTCAATGAGCTTTCAGTCGATTGTCTTCTTCCTTCTCCATCAGGTAGATGATGATGATCCATCAGGAGTCTTTGTGTTCCTGTGAGTGTAGATACAATATTCTGTTTGAGCTGGTGGTCTACACCACCTGAAGGAAATATCCGTCTCTTTATCTGCTAAAGAGTATCCAACCAGGTAGTCTACATAGTACATGAGCCAGCAGTCTACATAGTACATGAGCAGGTAGTCTACATAGTACATGAGCCGGTAGTCTACAGAGTACCTGAGCCGGTAGTCTACATAGTACCTGAGATGGTAGTTTAGAGAGTACCTGATTAAGTAGTTTACATAGTACCTGAGCAGTTAGTCTACAGAGTATCTAAACAGGTAGTTTACATAGTACCTGAGCCGGTAGTTTAGAGAGTACCTGATTAAGTAGTTTACATAGTACCTGAGCAGTTAGTCTACAGAGTACCTGAACAGGTAGTTTACAGAGTACCTGAGCCGGTAGTTTAGAGAGTACCTAATTAAGTAGTTTACATAGTACCTGAGCAGTTAGTCTACAGAGTACCCGAACAGGTAGTTTACAGAGTACCTGAGCCGGTAGTCTACATAGTACCTGAGACGGTAGTTTAGAGAGTACCTGATTAAGTAGTTTACATAGTACCTGAGCAGTTAGTCTACAGAGTACCTAAACAGGTAGTTTACATAGTACCTGAACAGGTAGTTTACAGAGTACCTGAGCCGGTAGTTTAGAGAGTACCTGATTAAGTAGTTTACATAGTACCTGAGCAGTTAGTCTACAGAGTACCTGAACAGGTAGTTTACAGAGTACCTGAGCCGGTAGTCTACATAGTACCTGAGACGGTAGTTTAGAGAGTACCTGATTAAGTAGTTTACATAGTACCTGAGCAGTTAGTCTACAGAGTACCTGAGCAGGTAGTTTACATAGTACCTGAGCCGGTAGTCTACATAGTACCTGAGACGGTAGTTTAGAGAGTACCTGATTAAGTAGTTTACATAGTACCTGAGCCACTGATTGAATCCACCTGAAATCACGCTGATGACCACGTGACCTCAGGCGTGACTCAGCACAGAGCGGCCCTCTTTAACCCACTGCATGCTGGGTACATTTCCCCCCTCTGATCACAGCAGAGCCGCTCTTCATCTGTGAAACTGGGAACCGCTTGTGATATTTGCAGGCGTCCTGTGGTATTTGGAGGGAGTGGATCCACTCTTACAGTCTCAGTCAGCTGGTATCGATCTTTAATCTGTTTGTAAGAGGTTGGACACGGTTTCCTGTTCAGTGTTGTTCAACTTTCATAACGAAGAGGCCCGCCGCCGCTTCCCGTGCATCAATTCCTGTGCATCACTTCCTGTCGGTTTAGCCCCAAATCATCAGTGAGAAAATCCCCAAATGCTTCAGAGAGAATCTGTCTTGAAAAGGTAGAGAGATTTACAGCAGTAACTTAATGAGGTTTAATTCACTAAAATAAAACAAGTAAAAAGAATGAAACTTGGATCAGAGCGTGTGGGGAGATGTTGACTCGATGGTGTCCTTGGTTCTTGATGGAGGTTCTGGAGATGCTCGAGGACGGCCCTGGAAGGGTTTTCAAGGGTCCTTGAAGATTCTGGCTGTCCTTGAGAAGCTCCTGCAGGTTGTTCAGGATGTATCGTGAGGCTTTGAGTCAGACTCAGGGTTCTTTCAGGAGGTTTTGAAATGTTCCTGACAGAAACCAGTCAGATGATGATGAGTTAGCTTAGCACATTAGCATTATTATCCCAGCGAACACTGCGTGTCATTATGGTATCAGAAGCCTCTCAGTGTGGAGACATTTGTTCGGGCTGTTCTTCTAGGAGCAGGAGTCTGTTTAAAGAGCCGATCTAACTATAACCGCTGAGTCAGACCAAAGGAATGTTTTAAAAGCCGTTCTCAGCGTGGAGACGTCCTGCTCTCTATCACCACCTGATCCCTGAGGGAAGCCTGGCACTGCCTGGCTTGGGTGGGTCCGGTCTGGTCCGATCAGGCCTTGTCTGTTTGGTCCTGGTCTGGATAAGCCAGGCTGTGCCTGGGTGAGGGACCTCCTGAGCAGCTTTATGATACGCTTTAGGCTGAGCTCTTGGATCTTGGACCAGAGGAGCCGCAAATTAAGTATTTGAGAATCGGTGAAGAAGAAGAATCTGGTTATTTCTCTTTTTCTTTCTTGATAAGTATGTAAGTAGATGATGGTACAGATGAAAAGCTTTAAACCAGACGATGATGGGACTGAACCAGTGGAGCGAGTCGGACTCACGCGGACATGACTTTCATGTCAGCGCTGTTCTTGGAGTCCAGGTGCCAAAGAATCCCCTGAAGCTGGTCACACAGCAGTGCTACCAACGTCTCTTTTTAGATACGAGGAGTACCGGGTGGGAACATCCGACTGTTCCACAAACAAAACTGTTCTGGCTTCCTTTTTTATTGCGCTTCGGCTTTTTGTTGTCTGTGTTGTTTCGACTTGTTTAAACTTCGGTCCAAATTTACCTTCCTCGCTGCGTTAAACCATTGAGGTCTCGGGCTGAAATGACGTCTTCTTCTGTGGTGCTGCAGGTGGTCCTGAACGGGAACATCAGCGTCCTGCACGAGAGGGTGGAGCAGCTCCGTCAGACGGAGGCCAACCATACGGCTCGGATCGGCCTGCAGGAAGGTAACGCTCGCTGTGTAGGAAAAACCTCATCACTGCCATGAAAGGAGACCTTCTCAGCGGAGCCACTGGCCGTATTCTTAGCTCCCCCCCCCCCCCCTCCTGTTACCACGGCAACCAGTGAGTCAGAGTAAATAAACACACATGATTGGCTTGCTGAAAAAAAAATAGGAATGTGTGTTTTACTCTAAGAGAGAAGGTCTCCTTTAATTATCAGAACACCACACGTATAGAAAATACCCCTCGTTCTAAATTTCAATCTATTTTATAATATGAACACATCCACAAAACAACTTTAACATAAATCTGTAAATACTGTTAAAAAAAGAAAATGTACGGCAAGAAGAAAATGTTCAGATATGGAAACAAAGTGAGGAAGAAAAGTCTAACTTTTGCATAATAACAGATAAAAGTTAAGGAGTAAAAACATAATTAAGGAATACTAGATGAAGGAAAGGATTATTAAATAATTACTTATTTACAAAAGGCAACACTATAAATAAATGGAACTGTAAAGAAAGAAGATATAGCTGTTAAAAGCAGAAGATGTGTATTATTTATTGAGTTAATAAGATATTAGTAATTCCCTTTTGCATTCACAATGATGACAGACTTCTTAAACTTTGAGCGAATAACAGATATGTTCATGAGTAACAGTCTCCACCAGCAGGAACGGGAGCGTAATGGGAAGTGAGGAAATACTCTAATGAAGTGAGTTCCTGCTGTGAATAGTCGGAGGGAAGCGATGAATTCCTGTATGAAGCAGATATGAGAGAAGCATTGTGTTTCTGATAAACATCACTCTGGAACAGGAGTCACACACTTTTAAATATTCACCACCAAACAGCTCATTTAGTTGTCAAATAAGTTGTTTTACTTGGTGCAACGGTGCTTGACATAGTAAGTACAACATTAAAGTACTACATGGACAGATAGTTATGTCAAAATCATAGCTGAGCCTCGTTTTTGAGAAATAAAATATCCCGTGGGATTATTTATTAATATAAAAGTAAAACTTCTGGACTCAGTAAAGCAGAAAGCTCTATTTCCTAACGTGTTATTTCACCTCTCACCGTAGTGAACGTCTTCTTATGTCAGACCTGATGCAGGATCAGATCCAGGATCAGATCCAGGATCAGATCCAGGATCACGTCCAGGATCAGGTCCAGGATCAGGTCCAGGATCAGGTCCGTGATCCTGGACCTGAAACAAACTCAAGTACAAAAACACAAGAGCCGGCGGCTGAGCGGCTCGCCCTCCGTCCCACCCGCCTCCTTAGTTACTGTTGCTACCCGTGAGGCTTCCCCTTCACGCCACACGGGCCTCCCCCTGCACACCTGTCAACACGTCGCCATGACAACAGGCAATCAGGAAGGTCGTCAGGAAGCGGCTCATCGGAGTAAAAGCTTGAGTCCGAGTCGGGAAACCGGAGCGAACTTTGACTGTAATTGAATTAGTTCGGCTGGAGACGGTGACGGTCTACTTCTGTCCCCTCAGAACACATCGAGACCCTGCAGCAGAACCTGACCCAGGCGGGCCACCGGGCCGAGTCCCTGTCCAGCCTGAAGGCCGCCGCTGAGAACCACATGCAGGCGGCCCAGAGTGAGACCAGCGCCTGCAATTCCAGGAAGGAGTTCCTGCAGAAACAACTGTGAGTCCACACCCGCCTCACCTGGTCAGGTGACCAGCACCTGTTTGCTTTACCTGTACCTCCAGCGGGGACCTGTAACAGACTGTAGGTGGAGCGTGTTTAAATGAGGTATTTCTTCAATGATGTTTTGTGAGTCAGGTCATAGAACCTGGTTGAGGGTCTACACCTGAATGATGGGAAGAGACTGGACTGGAGATCTGTGATCTTCAGATTGATGCGAAGCTGATCAATAGATTCTGATGAGGCCTGTGTGTGTGTGTGTGTGTGGACACAGTCAGAAGTGCAAAGACGGGGTACCTGAAGCTACTCGGGAGCCGCAGAAGACGGACCTGTCCTCCTCCACCTCGCCCCTCTCTGGTATTCCTGCGCTGACGCTGCTGACCTGCAGCTCTCTGCTTCTGATGACCTGTAAGGACTCGTAGTCACTCAGACGGTGCACAAAAACGCCTCCCTTACTTTTTACTGGGAAGTTTATTTCCTTAAGATGAGTGAAAAACAATAATGCATTTTTATTTTTTTTGCTGAGTATTTATTTTAGTCAGGAATCCGATCTCACATCAGTGGACTAAAGAGTAACGGACAAAGTATGAGCCGAGTTAATTCCGATCTCTGATGCCGAGTTTGAAAGTGAAATTTGTTTGTGATCCATTACTGAGGAAACGGTTTGTTCCTCAGCAGAGAAAAGAGCAGCTCCACCTGCTGGGAGGAGCTTGTCACGGCAGTATTATTAAGCATCATTATACCACTGAGCAGAAACACGTGCAGAGAATAATATATAGATAAGATATAGAATATAGATAAAAGACTTAAACAATATTTACAGTTCATTAAAAAAATTAAAAATATATTAGGTTAAAACCTTTTTTTTTAAAACAGTTATTTATTTTTAATGTCAAAAATCATGTGTGAAAAAAAGTAAAAATATATTTGGTCGAAAAATGTTTTGAAAAAAAAAAGAAAAATAATATGGTCTTAAAATGATTTTAAAAGAAAGTAAATATATGGTGGAAAAATGCTTCAAAAAATAAAGTAAAAATGTATTAGAGAATTGAAATAAATCATATGGTCAAAAAATGTTTGGAAAATAATAGACCATTTCCAAAAATGGAAAAGGACGTAAAAGTTAAAAAATGTTGGGCCGAAAAATGTTTTGGAAAGAAAATTTAAATAAGTAATAAGTAAAAAATGTTGAAAAATGTCAAAATATATGGTCAAAAATGTTTCTTAACAAAAGTCAAACTATTAAGTGGACAAATATTTTGAAAAAAGTCAAAAATATTAGGCCATGGAAATAAAAGTAAAATAAATATTAGGTCCATAAATGTTTTAAATAATGTAATAAATAAATAAATAAATGTTTATAAATAAATGTTAAATGTAAATAATGTTTAAAAATGTTGGGTATTCTTTCCGATTGACATTCTACAGGTTTTCTACATAAAGTGTGTCGTTGTGTTTTTAGGAGGTCAGCGAGGCGGCGACCTGTCGTACGGCGGCGAGCACTGTATTCCAGGACGGAGGCGGAGCCTGGACGGACCACATGACTGCTGTACAAACATCCTGTCTGCGTAACAAACACACAAAAAGAGATCGCCATGGAGACGCTGGCACGATGAATGATTGGACAGAAACTTTGCTTTGACTTGAACAGCCGACACGTTTAAAGATTTTTAAATGCGTCTTCACCACTGAGTTTTTTTAGTTTATGTCTTCATGAAGCTTAACGACTGCTTTTACTTTTTGCTGCTGCTTCGTCCTCTTAAATATAAAAAAATGAAATCCTGACTTTAATGCAAAATAACTTTCTGTCGAGAGAACATTACCGAATGTATTTCACAGGACAATATTTCCCTCTGAGATGTCATTGAGGAGGAGTATAAAAGGGCCGACATTCCAAATACTGAAGTAAAATACATCAGAACTTTAGTTCAGAACAGTTCCTTGAGTCTATGTACTAGTTTACCTTCACCACCACACAGCGGGGCTTTCAGGGACATCGGAGAGTTGAGAATTAGCTACTGAACAAAGAACCTGAGAAACAGAAATAACGAATCAGTAATATTTTCTGTCATGAATCAGGACTTTGTTCCCAGAATGCAGCATGTTTTTTCTGTTCTTCATGCCCTTTTAATACAGTTGAAACATCTGGGTCTTTATTCAAAGAGGAAGTTAGGCTTTCACAATAAGAGCAGACAAGATGACTCAAACCCAAAAGGTCCCTGTTTGTACCTGACGGTTAAATCCGACCCGATGTGTTGAGTGAGCTGAAGTCCGATCAATAACTGATGACGTAATCGCAACACACCGGAGTCTTGAACAGCTGATCCACAGTCCGCTAGACTGTGAAGCAACGACTCGACTTTTAGAAGCTTTTAGAACAAGGGGGTAGGAGGGGTATAAAATAATAAAACTGAGTTTCTAAACTGTTTTCTTTGTCTTGATTTGATTTCAGAGTCGAACTTTGGTTGAGTGAACTTAACATCCAGATCAATAATATCTAATATGTATCAGTAACTCTCATCTAATAACTATCAATAATACTGTACATTGGTCACAGTACTTTTACTTTAAGCACATTTTTGTACGATGTCAAGTATCCGACTACTTCCACTTTTACTAAATACTTCCTATAGCGGCGTAATACAAACACACAATATCTTCTATTCAGTGTTAATAAGAACAATATTTCCCAATGAGATGAAGCACAAGCACACAGCAATACTCAGGTCAAGTACCTGTACCTCAGAAAAGTACTTGTGTAAACGTGTTTCAGGTGTTATTACACTGTGTACAATATTAGTATATTAAAACACACCTGATCGTGTTTATTGATCTTTCTGTGAGAGTCAGCGAGGTTTGATTTCCCACAGTTCAGTCGGTCAGGATCAACTCTGATGGAGCGTTATGAGGTCAGGAGGGGGCGTGGCCTGCCGCAGTAACGAGCCAATGACTGATAAACATCTCAGCCAATCAGACGGCCCCGAGAGAGACGACAACAGCAACAGGTCCCAGAGGACCGGAGGGGCGTATTTCAATTAGTGAGTGTGGTGAGTGTGTGTGTGTGCGTGGGTATAGGTGTATGTGTGTGTGTGTGTGTGTGTGTGTGTGTGAGCATAGGTGTGTGTGTGTGTGAGATAAGCGCTCGGTCTCGGTTCCCACCTCTGTTTCTCTTTATTGTCTCAGTATCACTATCTGATCAGAGGCCTGAGAATGATTCTTCTGTGTCTGTATATAAACACACACGCATAATACATGCTACGATACTGTGTCTTCTTATCATTGTATTTGTATATATACAATATTTTTGTATTATTATTCTTTTAATTATTATGTCATCACAAATCATCTCTGTTATTTCAGTATAGAAGGAACAATAATCTAGAAGGGCGAGGAAAACATTCAAGTGTAACTGCATTAACTGATACTTGTTATAATACTTGTTCATTTGTATTTTCACATTGTTGGATATTTTACTGTGTGCAGTAATGTGCCATGTACTTATTCCGCCTCTTTGATCGTCTCTGGGAGGAAGAAACATTTCTCTTTGGATAAAATGGGACAATAATGAGAGACAGAGGTGGGAACTGAGACGGAGGAATCATCTCACAAACACACACACACACACACACACACACACACACACACACACACACACACACACACACATTCACACACTCACTAATTGAAACACGCCCCTCTGCTCCTCTGGGACCTGTTGCTGTTATCGTCTCCCTCAGGCCGTCTTATTGGTTGAGATGTTTATCAGTTATTGGCTCCACGCCCACTCATCATTGGCTTGTTACAGTGACAAGCCCCGCCTCCTCCTGACCTCATAACCCTCCGTCAGATTTGGCCCTGACAGAGCCCAGGATCTGAAGTCTGATCACATCTCCAGGGTCCATTCATTCAACATGTTCTGTGGTTCTGGACCAGCGGACCTCGGTCCTTAAGGTCCTGGATGTGGGATAAAGGTTCAGGACTAGTTTGATCCTGGTCCAGTCTCTGTTACATCACCCACTAAACATTGGACGTCGGATAGACGTGCAGATCATGTCTATATTGGGTCCGTCGGTCCATGACCAATTCTGGACATCTGTTCGACGTCCATACTAGGTCCACTATTTGGACGTCCAACCATGACCCAACTTGGACAACATATTTACGTTAGAAATTTGACCTTCGAAGCGGGTAAGTTTTGTGGACGTCATCTGGACGTCAACGACAGGCTGTTTATTTACAAATATCAACATGTTTCATGATATGAATAGCCTATATTATTCACAAACATAATTTAATATGTGCATGCCTGTTTATTTATTCAGTGGGTAATTTTCCTGTTTTAGTGAAAAAAAACCTACTGAACAATACTAATAATAAAAAAATAATAATTTTGTTAAATTAATAAATACATTTGAAGTAGCCAAGAGGGGGGGCGATGGCCACTGATCTCAAAATAACTAACAACAACAGAAAAGTCACACCCGAGGACGGGCTGGGCGGGTTAGAGAAGGTGTGCAGGGAAGCACAAGGTTGGTGGTTCGAGTCCAGTCCGTGAGTCCGTGTCCCTAATTGCTCCCCGGGCAAAAATGTGAAAAAGCCGTGGGTTTACGGTGTAATGTAATCTGCTAAATGACCTGTAATGTAATGTAATTTAAAAACCAGTTAACGTCACTCTGATTGGCTGAAGCAACACCATGTAATGATGCCACTCGGTCAAGGCAACACGCCAGACATTTCACACGATTCAGCGTGTTCGATTTCCTCTGAATTGAAGGTAAGTTCGATAAGCCCAGTGAATTCTATGTCCATGCCCTACATCGTAGCGAATGGCCCAGCATGCCTTAACGACACACATTTTTATTTTGCGTTAGCTAAACAAAAGGAAATTAACTGGTACAGAAAACATGTCCCCTACCTCTTAGTTATAGAAGTAGTATAGAACGTCTAAAATTAGTCTAAATTTGACGTTGAAAAGACGTCTAAAACGACCACATTTGTACTATAAATAGCCCTTATATGGAGGTCCCACCGACGTGAACATTCGACGTGCAGTAGACGTCACCTGGCGTTACAAAACAACCCCTTCAGTGGACCAAAATTGGACGTCCAAAATGACCTAGAAAAGACGTCACACTGACGTCACATTGCGCAGTGGGCATAGTCACGTGACTGCAGATGTCGATCAATCAGATAGACAGACCAGAGTTCCCAGAATGCATCATTGAAGCAGAAGGTTTCCCTTTAGAACTTTTACTGCAGACGCTTTAAGGCTTAATTCAGACCTGAGAAACACAGCAGTGTGTTCTGTAGGTGTGTTAGCGGTTAGCGGTTAGCACAGTAAAGTGTCTCATGCCCGATGTCCCTGAACCGACCAGAGGACTTTGGTCTCACACGAAACGTCTCTCCAGCCTCATGCATAGCGGAGATAATAACAACAACACAGCGTATTGAATCAATGTTTATTGATCTGTTCTTTCATAAACACATTTAGCATCACAAACAAAACACAACTGTTAAATCACCAAAAGTTCCTTCAACATGAAAGCAACTGGATCTGGTTACGGATTCTTCCGCTGAGGCAGCAGAACTTCTGCTTCTCCGGCAGAACAGAGGACACAAGTCAACGTGTCTCCGGTAGTTCATAATACGATGTGAATATCACATGACCTCTGAGTCCAAAACATCAACATGTGTTTTTAAAGGACCACGTTTTAAACCAGTGCGGACTGGTCTCTGCTGGTCTCTGCTGGATCACATCTGTCCCACCAGGTGGAAGTACTGCAGGAGACCTCCACAGTCCGGATCCTCCGTCAGACCTTCTGAGTCTCCGTCGGCTGAGCTGGAGGACGGGGACATCGTCCCCTGAGGCCCGTCCTCCTCCTCTTCCCCCACGCTCCCGGCCCGGCCCCGCCGCCCCCCCTTGACCTCCTGGTCCGTCAGCACCTGGTCCAGGAAGGAGATGTACCTGAGGGCGAGGCGCAGGATCTCGTTCTTGCTGAGCTTCCTGTCGGGGGGGTGCGTGGGGATGAGACGCCGCAGCTCGCCGAACGCCCCGTTAACGTTCTGCTGGCGACAGCGCTCTCGGCTGTTGGTGGAGACCCGGCGGACCACCTGGGGGGCGGGACCTGAGGGGGGGTGAGAAATGAGGGGGGTCAGCTGGAGGACAGATAACCAAGACGAGGACACCAGAACACACGAGGAAGAACCGACAGCCCATCAGAGCGCCTGCTAATGCTCTGATTATTATTCTTTATTGTAAATATACACTCTGCTTCATATGATTGTCACTGATTTGAACATTTTTCATAAGAAGAAGGAATCTAAAATAAGTTTTAAACGTACCGTCACTGAGGTTGATCTCATATGGAAACGTTCTTTGTTTCATCATCAAGCTTTGAACAGGATCACTGCGGACACAGAGACAGACGAGGCAATTACTCATTTAGTATTTCAAAGTAGTACAAAGTTAAACATCAATTCGTGTAAAATAGCTTTTCTTCCATCTTTTCGCTAAGGAAAAAATATTTAGTGAATATAAATGTTGTTCAATCGAGAGACGAAATAACAGAATCATGTTTTATTGACAACATCTGATTAGAAAAGAAACTATGAAGACGTGTGAAACAATAAACCAAATATATTGATAATTAATCATTAAAGAAAAAATCAGGGACTCACATAGAAAGAAAAACAACACAATATTTTAAAATATGTATGAAATGAAACTAAACCCGTGTCACCTTTATCTCGGACTGAGAATCGGGTTGAAATAATGAAAACGTGTCTTATTTTAACAAAACAGTATGAGTGACGTGCTCACCTGTGGAGGTGCAGGAGGTCCGGGCAGGACGCGCAGGACTCGGTTCGGGTCTCGCTGGAGGTTCCGCTGCTCTCGGCTGCAGAGCTTCACTGCGCGCGTCTTTTATACTGAGCCGCGTCCCTCTGTGCGTGTCGTGACGCCGCGTCGCCATGGAAACCCCATTAACGCCGACAGTCCCATTAGACCCAGACGGACGGGAGGTCCCAGGAAGCGGCACCCCAGGGACCCGCCGGGGGCCCGCCGCTCCCCCTCCCCGCTGCAGGAGTCGTGTTATCCGGCGTCTCCTCCTCAGTCACGAACCAGCCCCGCCCCCCCCCCCCCCCCCCCCACCCCGCAGGAAAACCAGTGCAGACAGAATCTCACATAAAAACCATTGTGATTTATAGATCAATTGGTTTTTTTGCTCAAAGATGAGGTAAATTGGCGAAAAATCCAAATAAAATAGGTAATAATATTAGTAGTTTTAATATTATCTCATTATGAGGAGACAGTTGTTGTATAATATTATATAATAACAGAAAATGAATGTAGATTATGAATATTCAAAAATATGATATATTAGACATGATGTCATGATTATTAGGTGCGACATTAAAAATATGAACAGTAATCATCATTAAATGGATACTTATTACTTACAATAATGACTATACATTTATGCGTTACTCGATACTCTGATACTGCTTTACTAGTACATAATTCATCCTGTTTCAGAACCTTTTTGTTTGTTCTGTACTTTCAGCTCGAAACTATCCTGCTTTTATTTTGGTAGGATGCACCTCTGTAAATTGGGTAAGTGTGTGTACTGTGAGAAGCTCGTGCTGTGAGTAGACTGATAAAAGTGACTCTAACTACCGGAAGTGGTCATTCTCTTTTGGTTCTGGAAATGTTCGATCAGGTGGTTTAAAAGCTGCTGAACTTTATCAGCTTCCATCTGCGTCGTGTTTGCGGTTCGTTAATTGTCTGTGTGAAAGTACACGCAGTTCATGTAGTGAAGTAAAAGTATTCATTGATCAGATAAGTTCTGTTTCCTGTTCAATATTCCTGCTGCATCATATGTAAATGATTTCTGATAGACATCGGTGCGTCTTTTTGAGATCCTTTGTTTTTCTCTGAGAACTTCAGTTTCGTGACCATGCTTCCTCCAGCTGATCCAACAGGTAAAAGAAGCATTCAGTTAATCATAAACATCACAACACATCTGGAGCTATGTGGTTTTACAAGGACTTCAAACAATACAATCTTTATCTATGAGATGAAGCCCACAGTTACAAGTACAATATTTCCAATATGTGGTTCACTAGAACTGTCAAATAATATACTAGTATAATTTCTAAAATAGAACCGCTGGGTTATTTAATGGATGCAGTTCCTGCTTTATCCAACAGGGGGCAGAACTCACCCGCTCAAATGTATTTATTCCACAAACATTCAGCGTTACAAACACATTTTTAAGAATATTAAAGCTTTTATTTTTAAATAATTAAATATTCGATAGTTTTCCCAGTGTGAATTTCAAATGTTAAAACCAGTGAAAACTAAATGAATAAATCTATTTAATTTATACATTGAAGAAATCTCCTAATACAATTATTAATTATTATTATTATTAATCAAGAACAACAATCAATAAATCTATTGAGACGTCTTCTAATTTATTCTCGACACCAAACCAGGAAAATAATTTAAGTTATTTTATTAATATATACTAATAATGTTATTCAATTTATGTTCTGTACTGATTCCGCTGGAGGTTCATTCATTACGACATTGTAAAAATCAATATAACACATGCAGCCAATCAGAAACCAGAGAATCCTCTTTAACATTGAAAGTCGTATTAAACCAAAGTTCATCAGGAAAAGAACCAACAAAAAACTAAAGGAATAACAATAACATGTGATAAATGCAACAAAAATAATGAACTACTACTTTTTTGTGTGCTTTCTCCCCTGGCAGGTCTCCGTAGATTGTGGTTCCTTCTGGACTCTGGTCCTGACACCTGCCGTGGCCCTGCTGACACCTGCTGCTGCCATCATCATCATCATCATCATCATCATCACCATCATCATCATTATTTTAGATATTAATCATATTACTGTAAACCATTAACCAACATTACCCTCTAGAGTCTTGTGCTCTCCCTCCCCACAGGCTTCTGTGGATGGTGGTTCTATCTGATGGTGGTTCTATTTGATGGTGGTTCTATCTGACGGTGGTTCTATCTGATGGTGGTTCTATCTGATGGTGGTTCTATCTGACGGTGGTTCTATCTGACGGTGGTTCTATCTGATGGTGGTTCTATCTGACGGTGGTTCTATCTGACGGTGGTTCTATCTGATGGTGGTTCTATCTGACGGTGGTTCTATCTGACGGTGGTTCTATCTGATGGTGGTTCTATCTGACGGTGGTTCTATCTGACGGTGGTTCTATCTGACGGTGGTTCTATGTGATGGTGGTGGTCCCTGCAGTGGTCCTGCTGTGCGCCTGGTTTACTACTCACAATGACTTGAATCATTTCTGTCATAGGAATTAAATGTATTATATACTGTTCATTCTGTACACATGGCCTCCATTGTAGTTTGTCCATCCCGGGAGTGGGATCCTCCTCTGACGTTCTCCCTAAGGTTTCTTCCCTTTTTTTTCCTCTTGGAAGGGATTTTTCATTTTTTGGGGAGTTGTTCCCGTGCCGGTGGAGGGTTTTGGGACAGAGGATGTCGTATGTGTACAGACTGTAAAGCCCTCTGAGGCAAATTTGTAATTTGCGATTTTGGGCTCTACAAAATAAAATAAAATGAATTGAATTGAATTGAATAGATCTCACTGAGTGTCAGTTTCTGTTTTCGGTGTTTTCAGAGAAATCAGCAAAAATTTTATGGAATTACTTCATCATTTATCATTGACATCCATTTAAGAGTCAAAGACCTGCTCCGTGGGGGAGGATGGGGAGCTGATTGATATCTTTATGGTATATTGATTGTATTTTTGTGCTCTTATGAGTTGTTTATTTATTTTTTTCCAAACGCGATAATGTTAAAATTATCTGGTGTCTTCTTGATCAATAAAGATACACTGAAATCCCAAATCCTCCTAGCCTCCTCTCTCCTATAGCCTCCTCTCTCCTATAGCCTCCTCTCTCCTATAGCCTCCTCTCTCCTATAGCCTCCTCTCTCCTAGCCTCCTCTCTCCTATAGCCTCCTCTCTCAGCATCGTCTCACCTCCTACTCAGAGTCTCCTGCTTCCTCTTCTTCTCTCAGCTCTTAGCCTTCTCTGACCTTGCGTCCTGTCTCCTTACCCCGTCTTTAGCCTCCTCTTTTCACATCTCTTGTGGACCAGAATCAGACATTAGGTGAGGAGGAGAGGGAAGGAATAGGGGAGACACAGAGTAATTGACTGAATAGTTGTTATTACCTGCAGATTGTAATTTGGTTTCATTGAGCTCTTGTTAACCATGTTCTATTGTGATTGGTTGCATGAATATTATTAATATTTTATTTCCCATTTTAGAAGCTCTTCATATATTTTTGTATTGATTGTATTCTCCAAAACTAGCCCTTCATATTAGAAAAAAATCTTTCTGAATAAAATATGGAAGATACTTAATAACTTATTGTAAACTGAATAACGGGTAATTATCTTCTATAATATTCAGGAATTTTTTCAATTTAAAGGTGCAAATAATTTTTCCATACATATTTAAATATATATATATTTTTTTTTTAGGTTTATATTAATAAAATCACCGCAACCCTGTGTGCAGGATAAGCGGTTTGCAGACGGATGGATAGGAAAATCAAATATTAAGAACTGAGCCATTTGGTTATAGTTCTTGAGTATTGTTTGAATTTCGATATATTCACGGTTTTCTCATATTGAAGAGATCTGACATTAGTGACGTATTATTGCTTAAATGTATTATATTTTCATTTTTCTCACTACACTTAAATATTGTAATTTTAATCTGTGTTTATTTAGATATATAACCTTTAACATGTTAAATGTTCTTGTCGTTTTAAGCCAAAAATTTGAAAAGCAGGTGAGTTTTCGGTTAAATTCTAAATAAGTTTGTTTATCTAAGTTATGTTCTTGTACATATCTTTGTAACCGAGTTTCTTTCTACTTTATACAACAGTGAAAATATGAACCAAAAACCAAGAAGAGCAAACATTGAGTCAATTTTAGTGGAACATATTTTTATTGGTGACCTTATCAGACACAGATTGATACACTTTTTAACATTTTCTCTTGTCGTAAAAGTAAATTCAGTAAATGTATTTTAAATTTTTATTCTTCCAGCTCATGCAGCGCAGAAAAATAAAGTCCTGAAGAGGCCTGATGACCTCCGACCCCGCGTAAGCTCTCTAGCCAATCGGATAATTGCAATATTCAACAGGACTTTATAAGCATCCAATAAGAAAATATAGAAAAACAGATTTGTTTTTTCGTCTTTTAGAGAATACAATATGCAGACATTTCTATGTAAAAAAAAAATCTTCTCATAGACACTGTAAAAGAAGGACATCGTGGAGGTCTCACCCCCTCTCACAAAACCAGCATCAGAACGGGTTCCGGTACTTTTTCTCTCCTCCAGCTGCTTTAATAACATTTCATACGCCACAAAAAACTGATTCTATACACAGAAAAATGAGGCGGGTAATGAGAAAAACTTAAAACCCACACGACCCAAAAGAACAGGACTACAAGTACAAGAATTTATTGTGATGCAAGCAGGAACATAAGAGGAAACAACGACAACAGCAGCAACAATAACAACAAACATCTGAATCCTTCATGAATTCATATCTCATATGAATTTTCCCCTGCGTTTTTTTAAAACTGACAAAATGGCACGAACATCAAAGAAAAAACGTTTGCTGTTTTTGTACCGATAAACAAGAAGCAAAGTCAGTTTTCCAACCCACCCTCCATCACAGTGCTTTCGTTTACACATACTGCATTTCCCAGCATGCCCTTGTTTGTCCAAGGAGACACACTTGTCCTCCATCAGCGGAGATCGTGAAGATGAAGAGAAATAAAGAAAAGTCCTCAGGACCACGTGGCGTCGCTGTTTCCCAGAAAACACGTCAGTCAATGACATAAAATTCAGCACCAGTGGGGAAAAGGCCATTTTTGATTGGTTCATTTTTGTTTTGCGTTTAACATTCGTTTTTATTTTATTGACAACAAAAACACAGTATAGAAAAAAGAGAAATAGACCAGACTCCTCCTCCTCTCATAGTTCCGCCTCCTATGGCAGAGATGGGCGTGGTCACGATGACCACAGTAGCTGCTGTATGACTTTCCATCTTATAGAAAAGTGAATCAATAGTCTTTGGCAGATTTACAGAAATAAAAGTCCATCTGCTATTGAAAAAACACAAAATGAAAAGGTTTTTTTTATGATTATTACTTTTGTACTCAACCAGATGATTACGTTTGTATGAATTAGCCAAAAGATCCGAAACCTTCAGAAGTTTAATCAGAGTATTGATTTGGGCTGAACACTTAATTAATATTGTTTATTTTTGTTTTCATCTATTGGGATTGTCTGCAAGTCTGCTAAGCTGCAATAGCTCATCCTGTAGGTCTGTGAAGCTACGTTAGCTTGTCAAGTAGGTCTGTGAAGCTACGTTAGCTCGCCTAGTAGGTCTGTGAAGCTACGTTAGCTTGCCTAGTAGGTCTGTGAAGCTACGTTAGCTCGCCTAGTAGGTCTGTGAAGCTACGTTAGCTTGTCTAGTAGGTCTGTGAAGCTACATTAACTTGTCAAGTAGGTCTGTGAAGCTATGTTAACTTGTCAAATAGGTCTATGAAGCTGCGTTAGCTAGTCTAGTAGGTCTGTGAAGCTATGTTAACTTGTCAATTAGGTCTGTGAAGCTACGTTAGCTCGCTTAGTAGGTCTGTGAAGCTACGTTAGCTCGTCTAGTAGGTCTGTGAAGCTACATTAACTTGTCAAGTAGGTCTGTGAAGCTATGTTAATTTGTCAAATAGGTCTATGAAGCTGCGTTAGCTAGTCTAGTAGGTCTGTGAAGCTACATTAACTTGTCAAGTAGTTCTGTGAAGCTATGTTAACTTGTTAAGTAGGTCTGTGAAGCTACATTAACTTGTCAAGTAGTTCTGTGAAGCTATGTTAACTTGTTAAGTAGGTCTGTGAAGCTACATTAGCTCGCCTAGTAGGTCTGCGAAGCTACATTAACTTGTCAAGTTGGTCTGTGAAGCTACGTTAACTTGTCAAATAGGTCTATGAAGCTGCGTTAGCTCGTCTAGTAGGTCTGTGAAGCTACATTAACTTGTCAAGTAGTTCTGTGAAGCTATGTTAACTTGTCAAATAGGTCTATGAAGTTGCGTTAGCTCGTCTAGTAGGTCTGTGAAGCTACGCTAGCTCGTCTAGTAGGTCTGCAAAGCTACCATAGCTCATCCAGTAGCCCGGTGAAGCTACGTTATCTTTACCAATAGGTATGTGTGGCAATAGTAACTTATACTGCTTCTTAGCATTGTAACTTTGTATCTCTGTATCTTAGCATTTGTCGCCAGTCAAATCTCAAACTTAGTTTGACATGTGAACCGGCAGTTGTTATTCATGACTTTAAATCTGGATTTAAATGAATTATCTTATCAAGTAATGTCAAGTATGCTACAATTGTAATTGTTTCAAATCAGGGATTTTCAGGGGTTCTGCATATATCAAATCAATAGTGTAACATTTACTTCATGCAAAGTCGTTTGCTTTGATTGATTCAACATCTTCAGCTGGAACAGAAGAAAAAGTTAACTGAAACTCCAGAACAAATGGATGAGTATGTAAAGTGTACGGGTTTACAGTTTAGTTATTCACCAAAGATTTTTAAAAATGCTCTAAATGTTTCAGTGCTAACGGACGAGGAGCGCTAGAGTGACTCGGACACACCATCATAAATATCACCCTCTGACCGCGTTTGCTGTTCACCTGCCGCGGAATCTCACTTCATGCACAAAAACGTATAAAGGAACAATACACCTTCATCATTCTGGATCTTCAGTCAGCTCCAGGTTGCGATTGTTTTTCACATAACTACTCGTGGGTTCTTCATTGAATGCTCGCTTGTAGATTCATGACGAGGACATAAAACACACTAACCACGGGCACCCTTAAGATTCGCTAATCGCTAAAGGTTTATGTAAGAAAATGTATTAAGTTAAATTGTTGCATCTGAATTTAAACTCAGGTTTCACTTTGGCAGCAGGAAAATAAAAGTCTAGAAATATACCGAACTAAAGTGGAAATACAGAGATACATGTGTGTGTTTGTGTATGCACACACACACACACACACACACACACAGACACACACACACACCACAACAACGTATAAATTAACGAGGGAGTCAAAGGAGTCTGGACTTTCTCAGAACAGAAGCATCCACATAGCAATGAAGATCCCAGCAGAGACTCAAAAAGAAGCTCCAGGCTCCTCCCACCAGTGACCTCAGCCTCGTCTGATTGGCTGAGGTTCAGGTAAAGGTCAAGAGGTCAGGGAGAGTCGGGCGCTGGGTTTCTTTTCCCCGTCCCAAGTTTCCTCGGACAGGCGGACGGAGATCTGTCCAAACGGAGGAAGGAGAAGGGGTTGGAGGAGGTGCTATGAGGAGGCGAGGAGGAGGATGAGGAGGAGGAGCAACGTGGCGGACAGCATGGGGAGGCGGGGCAGAGCGAGGCTGCAGCCGCCGGTGGTGTCGTCGGTCAGAAAGGGCTCCGGAGACTCGTACACGGAGTCATCTGAGAGACACAGAACGGAAACTTTTATTACGATTATTATGTTCGCACAGCTGAGGGGAGTTTTGGGGTTGAATGAATCAAGGCCCCTCGATGCCTATTGGTTCATTTTGTGTAGCATGCTAAATCTCTAAAAAATCAAAGAAGTACATTAAAACAAGTCATATATTTGGTCGTCGAAAAAAAACGGCATAAATAAGTGATCGTTTTTTTTTAAATAACTTTAACAAAATCATGGTATATTATGTAGAAAGTCATAAATCGTAGTATAGCATTTAAAAAAAAAACATTAAAAAAAGTTCCAGTACAAAAGTCAGAAAAAAGTCTTTAAAAAGCATGTATAACATATTTTGTGTCGATATCAATAAGGAGGAGGAGAGGCTCACTGGTTGGTTTCACGTAGATCTTGAGCTTCAGACAGAGTTTTGCCGCCATGTTCGGAGGCGGAGAAGCTGCAGAAAGAAAGACGTCAGTAGTGGTCGAGGTATTCAGAAGTACTCATATCCTTTACAGTACTAAATGTACTAATACCATGGTATTGGTAATGTTCCGAATAATACTCAGATTAAAACACTGATACCACACATTCAAATACTGTGTTATATTAAAGCTGGTAAGAACACATTGAAGATTATTTGGTTTTAGTATATTAAAAAATACCAGTATAAATAATGTATTACAGCTAAATGTTCCTTAACATTTACATACTAAGTCAGTATAATTGGTCAACTTTAATAAAAATATTGGACCGTTATGTACTACAGTATTATTATCTGTGATTATTTATTATTATAATTACAATATTAGTACTCGCGTATTAGTTTAAACAAAGTGTTTAGCTGCACTTTTTATGCCGATTAATATCTAGAGATGTTATAATTATCCTGAACCCAAAAGGAACATCCTAGTCCAAAAATACACACATAATATAAATAACAGAAGTTAACATTATTAACATGATTGATACTGCATTAGTATTATTAATAATACATAAACATTAATAGCAATAATAATATAAAAAAACATTATTTACATTATACCTAATTCATCGCTATTACCAATTAATACTTATAACAATTCACACATTGTAAAGAAACAATTACTTGATCTATCCACCAAGTTTGACATCCTTTGTCTGATTTATGGACTAATGGATTAACGTATTTGACGTGAAACATTACTATTTAATGTTTGTTTTTGAAACACGTTCAGATTGGTTGTTTTCTCAGAGAGCAGCTGTTTTAACCTGCAGATGCCGTGTAACACACACACACACACACACACACACACTCACAGCCATTAAATGTCATTTAAACCAAACGGCCCGTTTCTCTGCTGGAAACTCTTTTGCTCCAAATGAGCCACAATTTAGGAAATTTTTTCCAGGTTGGATGACAAATTATGTCTAGACAGAAACACACACACACACACACACACACACACACGCACATACATACATAATAGCAGCAGCGTGTGCTTCTATGTTTAGACCGCATGGGTCTGATATCTTAAACATTCTGCTTATATCGCAGGACGTGTACTTTTATCCTGATATCACGGCTAATGGAACTAAAATAATCTAAAATAAATTGTCTAGGACTTTGAGAGACACAATGCAGGGAAGTAAGAATGAGGGAACTTCAGGTGTTTTGGGTTAAAAAAAAACCTTTTTTCTTGAATTGTTTCAAAGAAAATAATAATTAGAATTTTGGACTTTCATGTATATTTTTTTATTTGAGTTATAATTTTACGTTGAGATCTTATTGAGTTTATACTTTCCGTTTTATACTTTAAATATTATATACTTATACTTTTTTTAATTCTACTCTGGTGTTTACTGGGTGGGGAGGAGTTAGAGGGCACAGGGGGCGTGGTCTCCATTGAACGGGGGGTGTAACCATGAGTGACACATGACAAGACCTTCCTCAACCACGATGCCTTCAGGGAACCTACTACAGGATTTACGACAACCCAACGTGTAGTACTATCAGATGTAGCAGTACTCTGCACGTAGTACTCACAGATGTAGTAGTACTCGTGTCCTGGCCTGAACTCGAAGCCCAGGCTGAAGGGGGTGAACAGCTGGAACTTCTCGGAGAACTTGAGCGGCCCGTTGGCGCTCTGAGGGCGGTTACACTCCCAGCGCTTGAATCCCTTCCGGCGGTGGTCGCAGGTGGTGTAGCCGTCGTAGTTCACCATGTACAACACGTACTGCTCCATGCGCTCGTCCGGCTCCGCCCACTCGTAGTGCGGACAGTAGATGTCCAGGTAGTCGTTGATGGCCACCTCCACCGTGTACTCGCCCCGAAAGAACCTGAGGAAGGAGGAGGGAGAAGTGATGTCATTCCCTGTTTGATTGACAGGAGTCCAATATATCGGTTCATGTTCTCACGGTTTACACCTTTGTTTCTGACAAACAGGGTTTCTTGGTTAAAAACTACAATACCCATGAGCCTCAAGCTGCTGTCGCTTTGGAGTCAGAGGGGACAATAACAGCACTCCTTTCCTTTAGCATGTGTGATGCTCTATTTTTTCGTGTCTGTTGGTGAATTGCATCTTGGGAGTCTAAAGAAACGCTCACCGAAACGCTCCAGCAGCCAATCAGCTTCCACAGAACGAATACCTCACTCATCAATACACACAACACACATCCTCGACCAACAACTAGCGTCATTTAGCAGAGAAAACATTTAATTACACAGGAAAACTACTGATCAGTGCCTGTGTGTGTGTGTGTGTGTGTGTGTGTGTGTGTGTGTGTGTGTGTGTCTCCGTCCCCCCACGAGGCTTCAATTAAATCAAAACTAACTGTTTATGGGAGCGTTGTTTGTTTACAGAGCAGCGATCTGACTCACTTCCTGTCAAACATTTGCTAAACAGTTTTTAGGTTTCTAAATGAATTGGAGGCTTTTTGCATAAACAAGACTGTAACACGTTCAAAGACAAACTAGTGACGTCGTCGTTAACAAGAAATGATGAAATATGACCTCGCGTCCGTAAGTGCTTCATCTCTTCTGTCCAAGTCTCTCTGCTGTCCGGTGAGATCAATAAACAGTTTGATGTAAAACAGCAGAATGATGATGATGGCGATGGAGCTTCGTCCTCACAGCTGCTGCTCCCATTTACGGGATTTAATTGAGCTCAAACAGATCCAGAGTGGCCTCTTCGTGAGGAAGAGCATCATCATCATCATCCTCAAACAACCTCGTGTTTCTCTGAATATTCACAGACAGAGGCGGAGCGGCCAATCAGAGCTCATTAACATTCTGCTAACGAGCTCCGTCCCGATTGGCTCAGCAGTCCTGGTTCAATCACAGCTCGTTAAAAAAAAACAGTTTTAACTAACAGAGCGTGTGTGTGTGTGTGTGTGTGTGTGTGTGTTTCACTGTTTACTGGCATCCAAATAAAAAACTAATTAAATCAAAGCGATGCTGCTGAGTTGACACATAAACCAGGTGAATATATTGACAGACACAGAGAGTAACAGGAAGTCATCGTCACTGGTTCTTTCCCCAAAAACCGTCTCTGCACGATTCTGCTGATTTACTCCAGAGGAACTCAACGCGGCGTCTAACCAGAAACACATTCAGAAAACACGCCGCCCTCCCAAGTGTTACCGTGCCGAGTCATGTCAAGCTACAGGACCCATCGGTTTGGCCTGCAGGGGGCGCTCTCTCCTGTCCATTTTACCCACAATACTTAGCGGGACGATCCTGCAACAAGCTGGATGAGCTGTGAGCTACACACAGTAGCACGGTTATCAGAGAATATTATTAATGGAACCTAAACAAGCTCATCTATTATTATTATTGTGTAAATATGGATTATAGTTCACAGTTGTTGGACTCTTGTATGCATTGAAACAAATCAAGTGTTCTCAGAAGCTCGATTTTGTTTATGCATCTTGGTATGAAGTGTTATACGTCTTTGTGAAGCCTCCTGAAAGCCTTCAGTTGGAAGATCTACGCCGTTATTCTGGGCTAAAATGCTCCACGTAATTGTGTTATGAGTGTTTTTTTCTCCGAGCTGCTGAATCACAGCGGTGATTATTCCCGCGTGACCTGAAGGCAGCATCAGAGCTCGGTCCTGATGGAGGTCGATCAGCTGGAAACATCCTGCTGAGTGACGGCAGAGCGAAGACTTTCTCCTCTCCGTCTTCGCTAACACCATTAGCAAAGTGCACGCTAACTCGGTTAGCTGAGGGATCGGGTGCCGCTAACAGGCGATGCGTTCACTGACCTCCGTCCCCTCGGCTCTCACATCATCACTCATCACTCTAATGGAGGGGGGGGCTCTGTGTCCGTTGCAGCGGGCCGAGGGGCCAGCGGGTCCAGTAGCATCTTCATCATCATCATCATCATCATTCAGTCCGAACCCGGCTGACTGGAAACAGGTGCAGAGAGTCAGAGGATCTTCGGCCTCGGTTGTTCCCTCGTCCTTTGTTTGTTCTTTAACTCCCTCCACCCTGAATATAGTTCACGGTCGCGCCTGCGACTCCCAGCATGCCCGGCTGTGATTTACGGTTTAATCTGTGCAGGTGTCTGAAGGTCAGGTGGATCGGATCCTGCTCCGGTGATGGGGGGAGGGAGGTGGACGGGGGTCCGGGTCATTCGTCAGAGTTCCTGACAGAAGAACTGACGGATTGAAGTTCAGAGCGGCTCGGACAGAAACGGGTCGAGGCTGCAGCAGCTGGATCGTTTCTGTTTCTGTATTCACATTCTGCATCTGGCCTTTAATCAGGGCTTGAAATCCTGGACCAAACCTGGATTCAATTCCGGATGAAGTCCTGGACCATCTTTGATTCATCGCTTGTTGCCCTCTAGTGGTCCAATTTACAGCTTTAACTATAAGCTGTGATGTGTGCAATGTATTTATTCTGTAAAGCTCTTTAATAACCACGTTATCTCTGGACTACGTTCCCACAGCCGCTTTATTATTTCTGTCCCAGTCACATAATCGATCCCTCTGGAGACACTTCCCATTGTGAGAGTTCATGTAACCGGAGTCTGTCCTGACAGGCCGGGGCCACAATACCCTCAGTGTTTCCTTCAGGTTCAGACAAGAAGCTACAAGCTCTGAGACAAACCTATCTGATCTGATGTCTGAGAACCTGATCTTTTCACACACACACACACACACACACACACACACACACACACACACACACACACACACACACACACACACACACACACACACACACACACACGTAAGGAGAAACCTCCGTCTCCGCTGTGAGAAACGAACCAGACTAGGGAAGCAAGTTTGTGAATTGTTCGCTGAAGACGTAAAAGGCTTCTGACTCAAGGACGTGATTCTCGTAGTGAACTTGGTGCATCAGATCTCGAGTGAGGAAACACACGTGTTGAAGGTGCAAAGTTCCTCCTGATGGCGGCGCTAGAGGATCTCTCCACAAGCCAACGGTCTCATTATGAACTCCACCACAGGAGAACGGCTCCGAACTTTCAAATGAAAAGCCTTTTTTTAATAACTTTTCTATAAGTAACTTATAACTAATACGTTTTTCCTTATTTTTAGACTCATTTTTACGTACATTTTCAGTCAAGCGTGTACTGTAACTTCATGTAGCGGATTTATTTTTATTAAGGGACGAAACAAACAGCTGGAAAACTTTTATTTTTCTAAACTTAGTATCCAGTGTGTTTAAAGTATCAGTAATGTTACATTAGTACTGCAGTACTGACAGCAGTTATGTTGGAAACAGATTCCTGAATCGTGTAATATTCAGAGTATGTGGGATCGTGTTCACACACACACACACACACACACACACACACACACACACACACACACACACACACACACACACACACACACACACACACACACACACACACACACACACACACAGCAGTAGCAGCCACATGTTCACTGTAACACGACTCTGGTCTCTTTGTCTCTGGTTACCAGGGCGACTCATTATGAACTCAACATAAGGCGTGTTAGCCTGCTGTTAGCATAGCTTAACAAAAATCCTGGCAGCGAGGGGAAACATTGTATTTAACGACCGGGGACAAAACTGACTTTCTTCTTCTGTGTTTAGGGGAAACACAACGGGCGACATGGTTACCCATAATGCATCAGTGTGAAAGGTGAGGTTCAGGTTGGAAACAAGAGAGACGTTTCCAGAACGCTGAAGAGAGTGACGAGCGGTGGAGAAGGCCTCAACCAAAAATAATCTGCCACCTTTCAATCAGACTTGCCCTCCCCCTCAACCCCCCTTCACCCGGCCCCCGCCCTCATCATGCCCCCCCCCCCCAGCCCCAATCAGAAACAATGCAAAGCTGCTTCTTCTTTGTGTTTTCTGATCTGAGAGGTGAAGCCTGTCAAACACAAACACACAGAGACCCTCCCCCCTCCCCCCTCATGTGGCCCCTTGTGGCCCCTGAGACCCCGCATGGCCCTCCATTATCTTTAGTCCTGTCAGTCATCCAACACAGAGAGGAGGAGGAGGAGTGACTACAATGTTGGGAACACTTAGGAAAAGTGGTCCTGGAAAGGTTTTGAATGTACGAATCCAAAAAGCTTGATAGGGAACCGACATGTGCTGGAGAACCGGCTCATAGATTTTATCTTTATGTCCTCGAAAAAAAGAAACCTGTAACGTCCATTAGAGCAAAGCTGAGGTTTCCTGGAAAACCCAAAGCTGAGTTCTGATCAACCAAGGGATTACAGGTGGGAAGCGGAAAAACCCTGAAAACCAAGAAACCAGCAGAAGGACCACAAAAAGTCCCACTGCCCACATGTCCCCTGCCAGGTTTTGGAAAAAGTCCTGAACAGAAGGACAAAACAAAGCAGGAGTGTCCTGGAAAGCAATGAGCCGTCCTGGAGAAGTGTTCAATGCGCACTACGTCTAATAAATATTCTGTAAAACACCTTTTGACATTTCATTAAGAGACTATAGCAAAAATGTGAAAAACAAATCCTGGAAAAGGGTTTTCTGAATCCAGGTTCTCATGGGAGTGGAAATGATTCTCAATCCCCACAACTCCCGAAGAACCTGGAAAAAAAGACCAAATAAATGCATGGGAAAGGCATCCCTTGAAACGTGGATCAGAGAGGATTTAGAGCATCAGAGCTCAGTGAGACCAGGAGGAGTTCCTCTCCATCTCCCGGCTCAGAGCCCCCACACTTCACCCTCTGAAATCCGCTTACAGACGCTTTAGACTCATCTCAGTCCACACTGAAGAACTCATCGCTCCGTCGCCTCCTCCAATCCGGCCTCAAGTTAATATGTAGACGTCCCTAATGGGGCTTCTTGATTTAATGTCTTTAATCCCGCGATTTAAACCT